GAATTTGCTTGTAACTTTTTAAGATCTCAGAGAAAATCTCCATGATAGTTATTCTCGGTAGTTAAAGTAGATATAATCAGTTCATTCTTGTGTTGGTACACACAAAGTTCAGGCACCCGTCAGTGCCTCAGTTTGGCTAACCCCCGGGCATAAAGAGTCTGGACACAACGCCCCTGCATCTACTCGTACTTACACAAAGCTTTGAAGAAATACTGAATGTGTGTTTGGGATATTTCACAGAGGGCAATGCTCTCTGATGACTAACGCTGTGTGGAAACATTTGCCTTTTTTTTTTGTTGCAAGAAAGTGTTCTCACCCTCTCTTACTATTTTTGGTCGGGTTTGTCTGTGAGAAGTTTTGCATTTAGAGAGATGAAAAGAAAATTAGAGTTTCAAATTGTCATAGGAAGCAGAAAGATAATTAAGAATCTGTACTGATCTGTACATTTAAAGAAAAGCAAGTCCTCTCGACTCTCTGCTGGAGCTCCTAGCTCTAAATGACGTAGTTTTGTTTCTATTTCACTACAGTGATTCAGCCTTTCAGCCCCTGTGGTGAAACATTTAGCGATGGTCTTTTTCCATTCAACAGCATCTTTTACAGCCCAGATGGTCGGACAGACAGCGTGTCTTCACATGGACTGAATCATGTGAAACACAGGCCGGTCTTTGTTCCTCCGTGACACACGGCTGCTGTTAAACATCCTCAGTTTGAGCTTTATTTGTCTTCTTGTTAAACATGGAACAGGAGCTCTGCAGGGATCCACGTCGCTCTGTTTTTCAGCTCTGTAGCCTCTCATTGTTTGTTCAAAATATCCCAAACGCTTCATCTGTCATGTGTTTGGTTGTAATTTAGTTTGAAATGACAAGTCACATCGGCCCTTCGTCTCCCACTGAACGATTATATCAACATATAATTACAGTTCAACCTCTCAAACCCTCCAGAGACAAACACGTGCTCCTTTGTCCAAAATGCTCTTTGTTTTCAGAAGCTTATTTTAAGTCTGAGTGGAGATCTCTAAGTGTGCGGATCCCAAATCTGTCGGTGGAAATGTGTCTAAAATGATGCAGCAGACAAGGCTGATGTTATATTTACATTTAAGCAGAAACCAGAGCGATTTGCAATAAACATATGTTATGATTCACAGTATAGAACGAGTAGACACGACCGATATGAGATTTTTGGAGCCGATGAGATGAGATTCAACTTTATTGTCATTACACATATACAAGTATAGAGGAACGAAATGAGGTTTGGCATCTCACCAGAAGTGCAATAAGCAGAAAGTGCAAGAATCTGTGCTATGTACAGTTATTACAAAATTTAAAGATGTAGACTAAAAAAAAAAAGTGAATTATTGGGTATATATGGCTGGATTAATGGGATGCTAAAAATATAAATAAATGCTATAAATATAAGTATATTCTTCCAAATATAATATACAAATTAAGGTGCAGTGAGCATGCTATACTAGATTACAGATAATAGGAGGCGTGGTGGGGGGGATGATGGGTGTGAGGTGATGTGCAGGGGAAGGGGGGTCAGCGGCCAGCGGCCAATATATCGGCCGATATCTTTATTAGATCTATGTTTGATCTGTAGAGATAGATTTAGATATACACATTGATTGCCTTGATCCCTCAAATAGAATTATCAAACACTTCTGAAAAAGATTTTACTGTAAAATCTCGAATACAAGACTCACCCTGTTTTTGAAAGTCTCTCCGAGAGAACAAAAAGTTTAAACTGTCTTCCTGCGTAATAATTTCTATCATCTTCAGCGAAGTCTACAACATGCTGTGCTGTCATCCATATAGCGCCCTCTGCTGGTGACAGAACTGTAAGTGTAATTCAATGATACTCAAATGAAATGATGTTTGACTGGTGCATAAATCGAGTAATATCAGTGCATATCTGAATATCTGTGATAAAATTAGCCGATACCGACAGTCAGAAAATCGGCCGATATTATCGGCTTGCTGATAAATTGGTCGGCCTCTAGTGATCATGTCAGATAAAGTGGACAAAATAAGAGAAGTTTTAAAGGAAAACTTTGGAGCAAAGACTTGAAAAATGGTTGAAGATTAAAAGGTTAAATTAAACTCGGTTGCCAGGGAAAGAAAACACACACATCTCTGCACGTTTGTGTTTTTAGTCAAGTTGGAAAAGAGTCTGAATTGAATCTGACGGTTTGTGCTGAAGTGTCTCTGACTGTCGTGAAGATGAATTGATTCCATCAGTTTAAAAATGTCTCGTCCTCCTGTGACATGTTTGCTCAGTCGGTTTGCAGCCGAGTGTTAGAGGATTCATCAGAACTTTATCATCAAAACTATCTGCTGTTTCTGGAACATGACGCTCTCTCTACTGACAAGTAGAAACACAATGAGTTCAGCACGATGAGTTGTTTTACATTGAACATTTGTGGATTATAGATCATGTTGAGCAATGGGGAAAGAACTGATCTGATCTTGATGACACACCTCAGTGTTAAAGGGAGGCTTGAGGCTTTGCCAGTGGTGATGGTGATCGACCTAAACAGTCATGCATAAATACCTTTAATGCATTCATCCGTTTAATGTGCTCAGTATTCCTGTGTTTCCAGTTAGTTTCTAAAATATACATTTGTTAATTTCTTTTTTCCAGATTCACTAAAGCACAAAACAAACAGGATTAGTCTCATTTCACCTGATCAGCGTGGGCGTTGTCAGCGTGACGTGCTGTGGTCTGATCTTTCACAGTGACCACCGTTTTGTTCCATTTTCTGGATCACTAGAAAATAATCTCAATATTGTGAGAAAACCAGCTTTGTTATCTCGAAATAATGAGACAAGTAAGTCCAGATATTTAGACATCGACTGAAATGAACTCATGATAATGTGGAAAATTGAGTAAATAAAATGTTTGGATGCATGTCCGCTTAGGACTTCTGTAATTGACCGGTCGGGTTGCACATGAAGAAGAAAGACAACTGAGGCGAGCAGTAAAGCAGAGAAACTTTGCTCATTGTGACATCATCAATACATTCCATCTTAACAGTGCAGTGCATGTATGAAAGAGGCGTCAGGGGTGTATCTGTTTCTAGTAGTTGTGTCCAATCCAGTCTCTCTTAGGAGAGGGCTCTTGTCCTGTTCAGTATAAAACTGTAGAAAGAGTTCCATCGAGGCTTCATGTCGCTGAGTTAGACTGAGTGATGTCCGTTGGAGTCCTCCTCTCAGATTGTTTACTGAGGACTAAACAGGATGCTGGAGCTCATCAGTTTATTTATTTCTCATATAAATTTATCCGAAATGTCAGCGCAGCAGAAACCAGAGCAGGGCGGCTGCAGATAATTTGATATCACCCTCACTCTGCACAACAGTCCAGAGCTCCAAGACCGGAGTTACAGTTCTCTGTATGCTCAGACAGATTGAACATAAAAATGTTGATGATTCTGGGGTTCATGCAGAAGTGTGTTAAACCTGAAGTGCTCTGTCCAGTGGTCAGCAGGGGGAGACTCATTGGTTGTTAAAAAAAACTTCATCCCCCCCATTTTGAAGGCAAAACGTCACAGGGACGTAAATATCGCGGCTTGAAACGTCCGTCTGAGTGAAAGCTTCAGTCCGTTATCTCAACAAGGCGGTTAACTCTGTGTGTGTCTGTTGAAGATGCAAACATCGCACTGTCAGGTTAGTCCGAGGAACAGTCAGTAGTGACCTACCGGAGGATCTCAGGTTACATGGGGGCTCGTAGGGGGGGTTAGGAGGTCGGAGATGCAATCTGGTGCTGACCCCTACAAGCTTTAAAAGTGATCACTGGTGTTTTAAAATCAATTCTTAAATGGACTGGGAGCCAGGCTGTTCTCTCCTGTTGGACCTGGTTATGACCTGGTCTTTAGATGTCATCAGCCAGTAACCAACGAGGCTTTCGGCCAATCACAATCAATCAACCAATCAATCAACCAACCAGGCCCTATCTAGAACGCCTAATACAACAATGTACTTAAGCCTCGCAGAACTATACTAATCCAAAATATGATGACAAATACTTTTCTTTGACTGTTGAAATCTTGGAGGTTATATGAGGTCACAGCGGGCTGCAGCAGCCAGTCGGGATGTGATGAAAAGGACCGGGGGGGGGGGCCTTCAACTGGAGTTAACTGTGCTGCAGTTTGATGATTCTTGGAGACAGTAAAAGTGAGGACACAGACCAGTGAGTGGATTCTCTTAAGAAATAAGATCTACAACCCACAGGGGGAATGATGACAATGTTTCCATTCACACTGAGATCTCAGGGTGTGATTTATGGATCCTATTGCCACGACAACAGACCCCCATGACTTCCTGTTACTATGGCAAGCTGTGGTTACTGACTGTGTGTGTGTTTATTTCTCTTTCAAATCCTCATTTTTTTGCTTCTATTTTGTACCACAGAGTCACTCTCACATGAACTGTCTTGATGTTTTTTTTCCATTGCACTTCAGCGTCTCTTCCTGTCAAAGTCGGTTATTAAAGTTCTGGAAAACAAAGCCAGAAGTCTTGAAAACAGAAATCCACAAATGTCTGATGTCATGGTGTCAACATCAATGTCTTGTACCATTTCCTATAAAGTTGTATGTGTTGAGTTGCTTTAATGTTTTCGTCCTGTCCTACTCATTGCTCTCGCTCTTCTCCGCTGGATGAACTTGTTGTGTTTTAAAAATAGCAGAATTTTAAATCTGTCAGCGTTTCCTCTGAAGTGCACAATGAGTCAGGGGTTTCAGCCCTCGTAGAGACAAACAGGAAATAGTTTCATTCCTTTCTTTAAACCCCTTCATCACTCACCCCTTAAAGAAGCAGCTCCTTATAGTAAGGCTTCCTACTCAGGCCTCGCCAATGCCCGCCCACTGAATGCATCGAAACTCAACATTTAAAACACAGAAGTCATGTAATTACACCAACAAACGATCAGAAGCTCTGTGAGGGCACATTTCTGTTTTTGTCCAATGAGTGACTTTGCATGTTTCTCCGTCTCCTCTTGTGTTTCAGAGAAGCTGTATAACTCTCAGGGTCCAGAGCTCCGACGCTCTCTCTTCTCTCTCAAACAGCTCTTCCAGGTAACGCACGTTTCTGTCATGAACACACACACAAACAGCAGAATGGTTTAAAACCAGACATCTCTTCTGTCTCTTTCTGCAGGATGACAAAGACCTCGTTCCAGAGTTTGTGGCCTCTGAAGGTCTGACGTGTTTCATCAAAGTCGGAGCGGAGGCCGACACCAACTACCAGAACTACATCCTGAGAGGTGAGACTCCGCCTCCTGGAGGCTGTCATAAGCTTCTGTTCTGTTGATCCTATCAGTTACCAGCAGTTTAAAGTATATACTGATATAACATAATTATTGTCAGGGTACAAGCGCTTTATCCAAACGTTCCCGAGAGCACAGTCAGAAACAACTACCAGGGGGACAAATCACCATAATCCATAACTGACCAGGACAAGACTTCAACCATTCTTTTCCTACTTGATTTATGTCTGGACAGAGGATCACTTTCTGTTGATACTAGGAGACAAGAGTTCACACAGGGAACTTACATGTATATTCTTCATCAAGCTACATGCCAAGAAATGTATACTCTTTCACCCAACCCTTCTGCATAATGGGAAACCTTCACATACCACTGCAAGTCATAGTGAGACAAGATAAAAGCCAGAAAAGTAGAAGTTGCAGATGTGTGAAACCACAGATTTACCACAGCCACCGTGCTCACTGTCCAGTAAAATACTTTCCCTGTAGCCTCCCGTCTTTTATACTAAGCAAGTGAAATTTGTTTATACGACACAGCCTTTCCACAGACACCAGATACAGAGAGATTCACAGTCAGAAAGAATCCAAATAAAAAGTAAAATAATAACCGCTAATAAGATAAAGGACACAAGTTAAAATATTAATTGTCAAATTCTACCTGAACGCTGGTCTGAAAATATAAAATTTTGGCTGATTTTAGAAACGATTCACTGAGTTCAAAGACCTCAGGCTTATCTGGAGATGTTGACAAAAATACTGATAACCGGCAACATGTAATTTGAGATTAAAAGGGGTCCTAAGATCGAGCCCTGGGGGACACCATCATGACAAAGCAACAGTGCCTGAAAAAATAAAATACCCTACAGAGAGAGTATGGAAGTCCTTTTTGATTAGATAAGTAGAGAACCAATCCAATGCAGCCCTAGTAATGCCACAAGGTGCATTTCAATGGTTGGCATCTACAATTGTTGCACTATTTTCCAGCAGTCTCTCACAGAGTGATGATCCCCTCCTCGTCCTTACTTCAGATGGACTCAGCCTTTTTGTGATGCTCTTTTTATACCCAATCATGTTTCTAAACTGAGGCCATTTAATCCTTATTAACTGTGAGATGAACCATTAAGCATTTCACAACTTTCCCAGTCTAAAGTTGCCACTTTCAACTTTTCCTAAATCTGTTGCTGGCATAAAATTCAAAGTGAGCATATAATTGTCCAGAACACAAACGATGACACTTCTCAGTTTCAACATTTGATGTGTTGTCTCTGAGTTATTTTTGATCAAATACGGGGTTTCAATGTTTTGCAAATCATCACACTCGTCCCAACTTTTATGAAGATGGGGGTTGTATAATAAACCAGTTCTTGTCCACCAAAGAACCCCGAGTCCTAAAAGCAGCCCTCACATGAGCAGAGGGTGATACCCCTTCACTCTGGGTCCTGCAGGCTGCAGAGCCATCAGCTGAGTTTGTGACGCTCTCTGCACGAAGCAGCAGCAGCAGCAGCTCGATCAGATGGAAACTCAGAGCTGCAGCTTCACACATCCAACAAACCCACAGAGAGCTGAGTCAGCCCTGCAGATTACAGGCTCCTCTGGATCTGCTGGAGCTGTCTGTGGAAACCAGAGAGCCAACACTGACCTGTCTGTCTGTATGTCTGTCTGTCTCTTTGTCTGTCTCTCAGCTCTCAGTCAGATCATGCTGTTTGTGGACGGTATGAACGGCGTGATAAACCACAATGAGACAGTCCAGTGGCTCTACACGCTTACGGGGAGTGTGGTGAGTATTTAAAACTCCAAACCAAAACAAACTTAAACACAATCGACTCCTTTATGCTGATCAATAGAGCTTGGTTCATTCTGATCTCATCTGGTTTGTATCAATGGATTCAGACTTAAATTAGCTGGTGTGTTTTTTTGAGTATCAGAGATTAAGAGCATCTGCAGAAAAAATCAAAAATTCACTCAGGAACTGCACAAACAGTGACGTTAACAGTAACATTTCCCCAAGTAGACAATACTTAAAAATCGGCCTCGGGCTCAGAAACTTTGGAATAAACCGTAAATGGTGATATTTAAAACCTGCCATCACTCAGCTGAGATACAATCTCAAAGTTTTCCCTTTGCAGAAGAAGTGATTAAGAGCAGGTTTTAAACATCAGAGCAGAGCTGTGGCTCCCCCTGGTGGACACACTCTGAACTTCTCTCTGTTCGTCTGCAGTCTCGTCTGGTGGTGAAGACGGCTCTGAAGCTGCTCATCGTCTTCGTCGAGTACGCAGAGTCCAACAGTCCTCTGCTCATCAACGCAGTCAACACGGTGGACGGGAGGAGAGGTGCCCACACACACACACACACACACACACACACACACACACACACACACTTTGATTCTTTGACAACAATCTCTGTACAAAATATGATATTTTAGCCTTTGTAGGTATGAAACTTTTAGAGCTGCATTTAACATGTTCAGTTTTTACCACATGAATCTGTCATATGTTTGAAGTCTATAAACTTTCAGAAAGTGTTGAATAATCTTGGTTTCTTCAGACTTTCCAGATATCTACAAATACCGTAAAACTTCTAATAAAAGCCCATCCCCGTTTGCCACAAAACGAGTAAAACCCAGCATGCTGCACAGTAATCGTTTAATCTCCACTATCGTGTTTTCATGATCGTTGGAAGACAAACGTCTTGAAACCTGATGAATTGCCCAGCAGTCCGTCTTAGTGTTCAGTCTGTAAAGGTGTGTTTGTGTGTTGCAGGTGTGAAGTCGTGGAGTAATCTGATGGAGGTCCTGGAGGAGAGAAACGGCTCAGACACAGAGCTGCTCATGTTGGCCATGACGCTCATCAACAAGGTAAAAACATTTCAATGTATAATATTCAGAATATTATGATGATGTTTTCATTCAAATATCTAAATCAATTCAAATGGACCAAACCTGTTACAAATACAATATATCTCCAGCAGTTATCAAAGCCAGAGAAATCTGTAAATTTATAGTTTTAACTTGCTCTGTTAGACACTCAGTGTGTAGAGCGTTTAGCTGAGAGAAAATAAATGTCATCAAGGTCAACAAACAGTCGACAGAAAATGAACACGAGGGACAAACGGCTAACATGAACAGTATGAAGCAGCTTCATGACGTGCACGATCTTCAGTGGGGTGGAATAAACATGGTCACCCACTCCTGCTTGACCATTGGGAATTTTCCTGACTTTTTTCAACTCGACTTCATGCAGAGTTTTTTTTTTTTTTCTATGAAGCTGGACTTTTTTGCATTCACACATGCCACTCACGCCGTTCATGGATGTGTGAATGCAACATATCGCTTTAAAAGTTGTCTGTTTAATTATTCATGTTCTCACCTGTGTGTGTGTGTGTGTGTGTGTGTGTGTGTGTGTTTTATGTGTCAGACTCTTGGGGTGCTCCCGGACCAGGACTCGTTCTACGATGTGACCGACAGTCTGGAGCAGTTGGGGATGGAGACGATCATCTTCAAACACATGAACAACAGAGGGACGGAGCCCGACCTGCGCTCTCAGTTCACCATCTACGAGGTAACCACAACCTGAATGACAAAACAACACACACACACAGTTAGAACAGTGTTTAAGTGTGTGTGTGTGCTGCAGAACGCTCTGAGGTACGAGGACGGGGACGTGGACGACTCCTCCCTTCACCTCCGTAAAGAGAGAAGAAAGACGGCCTTCGGCGAGCAGGAGGGACGCAAGAACCGCCGCACCTCCAGCCAAAACCTCCCTGACCTCCTCCCCTCACCCGCTGCTTCCTCCCCCACCCCGACCCCCACAACCTTCCTGCCCCCCTCCACTGAGACCACCCCGGTCTCCCCTGCCATCTCCCCTACGTTCTCCCCCGCTGTCTCCCCCGTCGCCTCCTCCCCCAGCCCCACGGCGGGGTCAGGCAGCAGGGCCTCGTCTCCGCTGATCTCCGATCCTGACAGCTCCACCTCCAGTCCGTCCGGGTCCCACAGAGGGTCTCCTGTTCCTCCCCACACGGCCCCCAACGGTACCATAGCAACAGAGCAGGATGCAAAGTCACCGACCAGTCCGTAAGTATTATCTTCTGATAACAAGAAAAACAAAACTCTGAGCCTGATAACAAACAAACATGTTTACAACTATGTGACCCCCTCCCCCCTCTCCCCGGTGTTACGGCCGGTCTGGTCTCCCTCTGCTCTCTGAGTCTGACCAAGTTTAGACCGGCCGCCTGACGAGGGACGTGTTTTATTTGGAAGCAGATTTTTCTCTGAGTTCAAGCAGCAGGAATGTTTGTCCTCTGTGGGCACATGAAGAACATTTCTGCTCGTGTTTGGACTCAGCGGGAACAGCCGACATCTCTTCAACATTTTAAAGGGGGCAAAGTTTATTTCATATTTAGCATTAAGTACCCGCAAGAGACTTCACTGCGGGTCCACTCTGGACCCGACAGGGACTGTAATTATGTCAAATAATGTTGTCCTTTCTGAATCTATTCGAAACTTCAGGACTGATGGTTGAGCTTCTCCTTCCTCATTAGATGAAAACATTTTAGGTTGTTATTATTAGACGTCATCAACTACATATTTCACCTCAGTCAAAAAAACTAATCTATAACTAGAGAAAGTAATCAGCAGGCTTAAAGGTTGTTAAAAAAAAAAAAGTTTAAATGCGTCCAGACAAAAAGCCAAGTACCTTATTTTTTGCCTGCTGCAGCGTTTATACACCGTCAGTGCAAAGACACAAAATGATTCCAACCACAGGATTTATTTTTACCTGAAGTTGTGAACGTCGATCCCCATTTTTAAAGCTCACATAGTGTAACAATGCTGGAGGTCCAAACTAAACTTGGCCAAAAGTTTCATCTCATGAGGTAAACGTGTGTTGGAGTAATCCCAGGATGAGTCTGCAGAGGGCGCTAAACACAGAACTTGTTCTGCAAAGCAGATTGTTTGGCTTCTCTAGCCAAAACCTCCCTGACCTCCTCCCCTCACCTGCTGCTTCCTCCCCCCACCCCAATTACCTTCCTGCCCCCCCTCCACTGAGAACAACCCCCCTCTCCCCCTCTGTCTCCCTCACATCTGTCGGGTCTAATGATGGGGATATTTCGCTCATATTCAATTCTCGTTTGTGTCTCATCTTAAATTTATTCTGCTCTTTCTCTGAACACAGCTTTAGTTGAAGCTCTAAAAGAACAAATCAGGTCTTTTTTTCTCTCTCCATCCTGGTGCTGATTCTGGGTCTGTTTCTTATTTCTGGTGACTGGTGTTTCTCTCTCCTCTCCCTCTCTCGCTCTCTTCCCGCTGCGGTGCTTTCTGACCAACCAGGGGACGCTCTTTCCTCAGCCACCACATGTCCGCTCTTGGTTTCGGCAGGAAGTCCAGACTCTTCACCAAAACCAGCTCTATCTCTGAGGAGACGTCAGCCGCCTGCAGGTCGGTAACACCTGGACTGACCTGAGACCTGCTGACTAGACATCAGTTTAGTCCCGTTGGTGCCACATAGTTTATTTTACAGACGCTTCCAGAGGAAAGAAACAGATTCACTTTGAGGATTACGGAGTGCATGTGGAAAATTAGAATTTGCACAGACTTCACTTCACATATCCCACCTAAAAATTTAACTAAAACCAAGCGGGAACTTCTGGCGCCAAAAACTGTAGTTCCCTGAGTGTCCACTTGAGGCTGTCTCCAAAAGCGAAGGACTCCCGTTTTTTTTTTAATCTTTAGAGAGGAATGAACATGTTTTACAGCCTGGTTTAAAAACACTTTTGAGATCAATAGTGTGCCATGATGAACTTTTTCATAACTCACCCGTTCGATGAAATTAAAGCGAGAGTTGTCCATAATAGGGGGCGGGGCTGATTTGACTGACAGGAGGCTTAAGACCCAACCTAACCTGTTTGTGAAAATCAAGAGGAAAAATGAGCAGTATCAGCCTCTTCTCAAGTGAGAAAATAATCAAATTTGAATATAAAATACGTAGAAGTAGATCGGAAGATTCTTAAATGAAACTTTCAGGAGATTTAAATTATTAAAATGATTTATAATAAAAATACTAGATGATGTCTCTTTGGCTCCGTTCCTCCTCTCAAATCGGCTGGATGTGTTGATCAGGCAGAAGCCAGACTGTCTTCTTTACAACACACACACACACACACACACACACACACACTCAATGGAATGAACTGGCAGAAAGAAATGTTTTGAAATGGTTGCAGTCTTAACTCTCTAAATTCTTGGCAGTTTATTCATTTTGTGTGTGTGTGTGTGCGTGTGTGTGTGTGTGTGTGTGTGTGTGTGTGTGCGCGTGTGTGCGTGCGTGTGCGTGTGCGTGTGTGTGTGCGTGTGTGTGTGTCACAGCTCGTCTCCCTCAGACCTCTCTCACCAGGAGAAGCCGTCCCAGTTGAACACGGAGCAGCCCGTCAAGACGGAGTCTAAAACCAGTTTCAAGTAAGTGAAGCAGACTCTGCTGGAGTGGGATTTCTTTTTGGTTCCCATGGCGATGTAGGCACAGCACGGTTACCAGGATGCTGCGGCTCAATGATGGTAATTGGTGTGTTGTTTCAGGGGACCTACACTGTTGTAGAAGTGAGAGTGTTGGTGTTTGATATCTCTGTGGATTGTTTGTGTGTTTGTGACGATGTCATAAAGATGTTATAAAGCGAGACAATGTGTCGGAGCCTTTCTCATCTTCTTTAAGTTTTACCCTCCTCCGGCGCTCCTGTCATACATTCAGGTGTGCAGAGATATTTTTTTTATGCGCAATACTTTTTTGTTTTCCTTTTCTTAAAATCTATAATTAATAGATTAAAATTGTAATTCATTGATAACCTCCTTAATTAGGAGTCATCTTAATTAAGAACTTTTTTTTATCCTGATGGCTTAATATTGTATTTTTGTCTGGAATATTTTAACAGATTTTTCTTTCATTTCTGTCAGATCTCTAAAATTAATTCTTGATTTCTTTTTAAATTTAACTCTACAGTTTTTTTGTTTACCATTTTGCAGAATGTTGTTCTGTATAGTTATTGGATTTTTTTAAAAACTCTGAAATGTGCACATGCAGTATCTCCTTTTTGAATACAGCTGAGATTTGATGTTGAGTTTGAATATTTTATAATTCACAAGAATAAGACCTGATGCTTAATGTCTGTCCATCTTTCTCTCTGTCTGTCTGTCTATCTCTCTCTGTTCGTTTTATCATTATAATGTTTTGTCTGACACTCTAACCTTTTTCTTTATTCTCTCTCTCCCTAATTTCTTCGTGCCTCGTCTTTTTCTCTTCCTCTCCTCCCTTGATCCTCCCCCAGCTCTGGGGAGGATGACGTGTTCCGCTGGTAAGTACTCGTCTCTCCTCCTCCTCCTCCTCCTCTTCCTCATCATCCTCTTCCTCATCATCCTCCTCCTCCTCCTCCTCCTCCTCTTCCTCCTCCTGTGTGTCTCTAGTTGTCAGTCAAGTGCTCAGCTGTATAACGGTTCAGCAACATTCAGCCGCTAGGCCACCCGCGCCCCTTCTTAAGAAGTTTTTATGCAGCTGAGCACTTCATCAGGTGTTATGTGAAGGAAATCAGGTGGTGTGTGGGAAACGTGTGTGTGTTTGCCTGGTGAGGGGGTAAACTGTGTGAGATGTGTGTGTAGTTCAAAGCTGATTGTGGTTGGGACTTGTGTGTTTTAGTGAATCTGTGTTCACCTGAGAGAGGTGTAAAAGTAGTCAGCAACGGTTTAAAAATACCACATTTATTTTGAAAATGTTCCTTTAAAAACCTTAAAGGTGTATCCGTAGTAGCTTATTTAGCTGTGAACCAATCAAGAGGTGAACTACAGATTTGAACCTGACAGGTGTTTCTGGTTGGGTCCTTTGTTTTCTGTGTGTGTGTGTGTGTGTGTGTTTCCATGTGTGTGTTCCCCGCTCAGCTCTGTGTTGTGTCTCTGCAGCTCTGACGACTGTAATGTAAACCAAGACAAGCCGGTTCTGAGGAGGTTTGAGTAAGTACTGCTGCAGCCCCACTGCATGCTGGGTGATGGAGTCCGAGCCCTGCTGCTCCTGTTAGAACCTAGCTCTCTGTGTGTGTGTTTTTGTGTGAAGCCCGGGTTGTTTTGTGTGTTTTTGGAGTTTTAATGAGATTCTGGTGATTCTGCAGGATTACAAACTGAAGAGTCTTCCTGTGTGTTTTTTTTAATGAAGCAAATGGCTCTGGGTGATTTTTAAATTTCTTCAGTTTCAAATAAAATCACTTTATTCCTCTGATGACATCTCACAAATCAAACTCAAGATCCTGATCTGCGTCTCTGTCTCTGTAGATTTTGTACATTGTCTGTGACCATCAGTTTGATTTTTTCCCAGCACAGAAGACCTCCTCCATCCTGTTGTTTTCTCTCTCTCTCTCCCTTTCTGTCTCCTGGTCCTGGTCCTGGTCCTAGAGTGGATCTATTGTTGACCTTCAGTTCAGTTTGGAACAATAGAAACTCGTAAACTTGGGCAGATCTTTCACTGTGCGATTGTTCTGCTGCAGCCACTAAACGCAAATTACAGAGCGAGCAGCTCGGAGCTCCCTCAGACCTGGACCAGGCCAACCTCCAAAACTACCACACTGAACTGAACTGGTCTGAACTGGGCTGTGGCTGTGGGATGACTGCAGAGGTGTAAAATGACAAAGTACATTATCTGAGTCGTTCTACTAAACTACACTAAGATAAGATCATCGTTTATTGATCCTCAGAGGGGAAATCCAAGACAAGAAGAAGAGCGTTCATATGAGTGCAAAACAAATAAGAATAGAGGACATCATGAAATAAATATTAATTAGTAAGTAGAGAGTTAACTTTACACCCATTAATTTCCAGACAAAAAAAGAACAATGCAAGACATTCAGACGTGTGCAGTTAGTGGAAGTTAAACTCAAAGGGGACAGTTTTGAGTTTGAGGAGGATGCACAAAAGGAGACATGAGCTCCCTGTTTCATATCCCCTGTCAGTCTAAGCCGATAGCAGCATAACTAGGAGCTGGTCCAAGTCTGAGCTCGGCTTTACTATAATCTTTATCAACACAGTAAGTTTTAATCCTACTCTTAAAAGTAGAGAGTGTCTGCCTCCTGGACCCTGACTGGTAAAAGATTCTAAAAGAGAGGAGCCTGATAACTGAAGGCTCTACCTCCCATAGTACATTGTCTTGAGTCCGCCTGTCTTCTAAACTATGCACGCTTCATAATAACATAAAGCCATGCACGTGTTGTATTATGACGTTATGTACAAGAGGTAACTGTGCTCAGGCCCGGTTAGACCTGGAGCAGTGTGAGTGAAGACCAGGGGGGGAATATGGAAGGGGGGCAATCGTGCTTAAGCACAGCACAGGACAACTGGGCCTATTGTGAGTGCGCCCTTAAAGACTGTAGGTACCAGGAGCTGGTCTGAATTCTTCAAAAATTTCAGTCGTGCATTGCTGACTGAAAAGAGATTTATCGAGGAACTTGTGAAGAGAGGTGACTACGGGTTATTGATATTCTTTCTGGTACCTCAACGCTGTTCCCCTAAAATGTCAGAAGAAGACCTAAGTACAACATCTCCCGCCTTCAGTTTCTTAAAGAGACATGAATAACACAGGAAGCTGCTCTGATTTTAAAACTACCAATGGCACAGTAATGTTATTAATAGTCTCTTAATGTGGTAACAAAAACTTTCTGCAATGGGACGAATAAAAAGCTCTGCTCTTTACTCTGTGAAAATGAAAACAACATAAACTCTCCCCCTTCCTCTGATCTGCCTCCATCCTGGCTGTTTCCATACGACCACAACTGAATAATACTGAAAGAATCTGTGTGTGTGTGTGTTGGGTCTGTAGCTCAACAGTTCTTATAAAAATGTTAGTATTAAAGTTGTAAATCTGGTTGGTGTGGGGTCGTTGCAGTGTCACAAGATGTGTGCTGGTTTGTTTGGGTGCAGTCTAATCACTGGTCTTTAATCTGACTGGTTTTGGTTTGGGGGTTTTGCAGTGATGAAGAGATTTTAATCAATCGATTTCTTGACTTTGTGCTCCTGATTGAAGTGATTTAAGGTTTGTGTTTTTCTGCTTTCACATGCTGGTGACAACATTCAAGTTTTTTATATCAAATATTCTACATCATTGCCATAAAAACTTAAAGTAAGAAAAAAAAACAAAAAAAAACATGCCAAACTCCCAACTCAGCCTATTTCTTACTTGGAAGAGTTTTATTTAAACCAAACAATCGTCTTCCTGACTTCAGCAGCATGTGAAAGTGGTGCCTGGTTTTGTTTTTTCCCCCCTGGAGACTTCCAGACGTCTGATTCCGCTTCATGTCGGCCATGTTTGCTCCGTCTCACGGTTGCTTTGTTTCGTCTTACCCCCCCCGCTCTCTCTGCAGAGACACCTTCCTGCGCAGCCTGGCAGCCACACAGTGGGAGAAGAAGAGAAGAAGTAAACACCTGAGCCAGTCCAGACAGTCCACGTCTGATGATGTCATAACCCCGAGCCCGCAGCCTGCGGAGGGGCGTGGCGAGGAGGAGTCGCCACGTCAGGGTAAATCTTTGAGTTGAAATAAAATTAAAAACATTTTTTTTACAAACAATCTTGATGGATTTAGAAAAACCAGAAAAAGAAATGTCTGTAGAGCCCGAGTAAGATATTAAAATGTCGTTTCACTCTCACACACATCTCTTAAAGGAACAGTACACCTTTTCTGCTAATCTTGCTCCCTGTCTCGTGTGTGTGTGTGTGTGTGTGTTTCTCCTCAGGGCCGACATCCAGCAGTTCCGACACAAACGGACACTCAGACTCCCAGAATGACCCAGGTGAGAGAGCACAGTTACCCACAATCCTCTTCTCCTCATTGGTGCTACCCACACTGCAGTGCTCAATTAGCGCCTGCCTGGCCCTTTCCCGAAAGCCAAAGTTCAGTACGGAGTGCAGACTTTTCAAGTAGTCTGAACCCTCGTGGTCATTATGTGGGTCCACCTCAGTAGACTGAACATGTCAGCGTGGATACTAACTTCAGGGATAGCACGGATAGAGGGATCTACTGTCAGACTGTGTAGGCACTTTGCAATCCGGAAGCACCCCATGTTTATGAAGGCCGTACAATTCATGGGCTTCAGTGGAATGAGACGCTGTGAGTGCATCGGCTCGGCGGTGATGATGGTGCACCACCTGGTGGAGGTGAAGCGTCACTACTCTCTTGTACGTCATCCATCAGAACAAGAAGAAGCAGCAGAGTGCAACAACTGCATCTTCTCTCAACCCTTCTAACCTTTACACAAAACAGAGACACTCTTAACCAAATAACTGAGACAAGGGTGGATGAGTGGAAAGGTTGATACATATTTAATGGGTGGGTGCGTGAATGGACGCATGGATGGAAGGCTGAATGAATATTTGATGAATTAATGGATAAGTGGATTCATGCATGGATGGATGTAGAGATGACTTAAAGACATGTCACATGTAGTCTTCTCTGTTATACTCGCCTGATGTGTCCTCCATGACTCAGCGCCATCATCACATGTATAAGGAGTTCCTTATTGTTCTATTTCATGAACTTCTGTAAACATTGGGAACATTGGTCTCTTTGTAGCCTCCTCGATGCAGAGGCAGTGCAGCACTCTCTCCGATGACAAGAAGTTTGTTCTGGACATGCTGTACTCCAAAGCCTCTTCCACAGCGCCGCTGAGCCCGACTGCTGCAGCTCCTGACACCAACGAAGAAGAAGGCAGCTTCCTGGCTGGTAAGAGCCGAGCACAGTGGAGTCCGATTTAGATAATCAGTCATTTCAAGAAGAAGTTGTTTAAATGCACTACTCATAAACACTCTTTTAGTTTATACGGTTTAACAAAACATTTTTAAAAAAGACGCCATGTTGAAAAGAACAAACATTTGAAATGTCAATGTCTTTCAGGTGGAGATCTGGGCGGTCGTGGTCGTGTGTTGGAGCGTCTCTCCAGCCTTAATGCGCGCTCAGTGGAGCCCTCCGCTCCCAGCGAGAGCAGCGCCTCCCGCAGGGCGGAGCTGGAGGGGCTGGAAGGTTCGGCACAAGCAGCGCTGGCCCGACTGGCTGAAGAACGACAGGTCTGAACAATACAGCTTCATTAATTTGCGTCTTTGCTCTAAATACTCACCATCTAAACATGTGGAGAAATGGAGAAAACACATGAAGGTTTACAGACCGATGCAGAGCTGGCTAAACGCTGAAGCTTCAGTGTCCGCGACATGGCAAGCTAGAGCACATCGGCTCTAGGGAGGAGGGGGGCAGGGGGGAGACAGCTCTCTTTAATGTTTTGAATTTGGACCGCAGTACCCATTTTAAACACTAGGTGTCAGAGTTTCACTCTGCATCTGTTAAAGCCTCTTTCAAGACTCACAGCTGAAACAATCTACTGGAACAATTCCAAAACCTTTTTTAAATTAGCCATAGCTATGAAACATGTGTAGTAACCCTGGTGTTTCTCTTCCTGTTCTTAACCTGAATGTGCTCCATCAGACCCGAAACCTCCGGCAGCAGAGCAGCATCGATGTGGAGGGCCAAGCCCGCCGCCTGGAGACCACCCAGTTGAACCCGCTGGCTCCTGGCGGTCCCCCTGACGCCTGGGAGCAGCTGCAGCCGAGCGCCGCCGCCCTGCGCATCAAAGACCTGGACTTCTCCGACCTGCTGGACGAGGAGGACATCGACGTGTTGGACATGGACTCTTTTGACTCCTCCTCCTCTTGTTATTCAGGCCTCCCTCCTCCTGCTCCTCCTCCTCCTCCAGGCATGGCTGGAGTTTCACCACCACCTCCTCCTCCCCTTCCCCCGGGCCTCGGCGGACCTCCCCCTCCTCCCCCTCCCCCTCCTCTTCCAGGAGGTATGGCCCCTCCTCCTCCTCCTCCTCCCCCTCCACCAGGTGCTCCACCTCCTCCTCCTCCTCCCTTCTCCTCCTCGGCGGCTCCCTCTCAGAAGAAGAAGACGGTGAAGTTGTTCTGGAAGGAGCTGAAGCAGGCGGACGGGCCTCAGAAGTGTCGCTTCGGTCGGGGGACGGTGTGGGCGTCTCTGGACAAGGTGGCGGTGGACACCTCCCGACTCGAACACCTGTTTGAGTCTAAAGCCAAGGAGCTGCCTGTCGCCAAGGTAACAAGGGCATGGTTCAGCTGGGGGGACTAACAAACAGATGCACTGTGGGAAGTGTTAATTAGCAGAATGCCAGTATGCCGCCAACTTCTGTATGGTTGAAAGATTCAGTTGTCATCAGTATGCACTCACAATGACAAGTGTGATCTGATTTTTATTTATTTTATTTCAACAGTAATTCTATCAGGAACATTTCTTTGATTCTTAAGATATTTTTGATCCGCAAACTTATCAACACTTAATGCATAAGGGGTCTCTTACTGCGACCCGCCTTTATTTGTCAAAACATGCAGCAACTCCGGACTAGTAAAAAGAACTGGGCCTGAAATATAGATGGGCTTTTATTTGAAGTTTTACGATACCACCATCCAGAGGTTTCCAAATTAATAAAACATCAGACTTCATATTAAACCCTCATCAGTAAATCAGCCTTAGCACTTTGCAATATGTCATCTGGCACAAAGGTTTACTGTGAAAGTATGAATACTGATGAATCCTGATCTGATTCAAAATGTTCATAAATAAGTCATGGATTTAAAAATGCGGTATCATGGTTGCTGGTCACACTGAAGTGTTTTGGTGTTGTTTCTTGTTGTCATTGGTTTTGTTGTTGTAATACTCACTTTGGCCACTAGAGGCTGTCGGGCACTGCTTCACTAAGTTGTTTTATAGAAACACTCTAATGTGGATACCAGCAGGCAGAGCAGCATATCGTTTTATTTACAGATGATTTAATCCTTTTTGTTACATGATTTTTGTGCAGAAAGGACCTGAGACGAAGAAGTCTGAGATTCATGTTCTGGATCCAAAGAGGAGTAATGCCATCAACATCGGGATGACCGTGCTGCCTGCCGTCCACGTCATCAAGACCGCCATCCTCAACTTTGACGAGTTCGCCATCAGCAAGGAGGGCATCGAGGTACGGAGCGACTGCTAATGGCCTTTATTATTACAGTAGACTGTAAAGATGCAGGTCTGTCAAACTGATCCATTCTGTCCCGAGCAGAAGATCCTGACCATGACACCCACGGAGGAGGAGAAGCAGAAGATCCAGGAGGCTCAGCTGGCCAATCCAGACGTTCCTCTGGGCACGGCGGAGCAGTTCCTGTTCAGCCTGGCCTCCATCAGCGCCCTGACCCCCCGCCTGCAGCTCTGGGCCTTCAAACTGAACTACGAAGCTCTGGAGAAGGTAACGTACACACAGACAGAGGACCTGGTTCTTCATCTTCGTGGTGAAACTGAAGTGGACTTTATGTTTGTCATGAATCAGCTTATCCCTGAGAGTCTGCACTAATGAATTTAAGATCTGAGAGTGAACATGTGTGCACACAGTTTGATATCTGCAGTTATAAACCTTTAACAGAAGTAAATATCTCACACAGCGTGGCTATGTTATGGATGATAATGTTTAAACCCCCTCCCCTGCAGGAGATTGCTGAGCCGCTGTTTGACCTGAAGTTGGGCATGGAGCAGCTGGCCTCCAATCAGACCTTCAAGAGAATCCTCGCCACGCTGCTCGCCATCGGGAACTTCCTCAACAGCTCCAACGTGAGATTTTTTTCTCCCTACTTCTTAACTCTTCTCCTCCTCCTCCTCCTCCTCCTCTTCCTCCTCCTGGTCCCACTCTTCTTCTTCCTCTTCCTCTTCCTCTTCCTCTTGCTCCTCCTCTTCCTCTTCCTCCTCCTGGTCGCCCTCTTCTTCCTCCTCTTCCTTTTGCTCCTTCTCCTCCTCCTCCTCCTCCTCTTCCTCCTCCTCCTCCTTCTCTTTCTCCTACTTCTCCTCCTCTTCCTCCTCCTCCTCCTTCTCTTTCTCCTACTTCTCCTCCTCCTCCTTCTCTTTCTCCTCCTCCTCCTCCTCCTCTCCTCCTCCTCCTGTGCTGATGTCCTGACTGTTTTTAGATAGGTGTGTTGTTTCTTGAAACAAAGATTCAAGATAACAGACAGAAACTGAACTTCTGATCTGTTTTAAGCAGCTTTAATCTGATACTATGTGTGTGTTTCTGTGTGTCTGTGTGTGTTTCTGTGTGTGTGTTTCTGTGTGTGTGTTTCTGTGTGTCTGTGTGTGTTTCTGTGTGTGTGTGTGTGTGTGTGTGTGTGTGTGTGTTTCTGTGTGTGTGTGTGTGTTTCTGTGTGTGTGTGTGTGTGTGTGTGTGTGTGTGTGTGTTTCTGTGTGTCTGTGTGTGTGTGTGTGTTTCTGTGTGTGTGTGTGTGTTTTGTGTGTGTCTGTGTGTGTTTCTGTGTGTGTGTGTGTGTGTGTGTGTGTGTGTGTGTGTGTGTTTCTGTGTGTGTGTGTGTGTTTCTGTGTGTCTGTGTGTGTCTGTGTGTGTTCTGTGTGTGTGTGTGTGTGTGTGTTTCTGTGTGTCTGTGTGTGTTTCTGTGTGTGTGTTTGTGTGTTTCTGTGTGTGTGTTTCTGTGTGTGTGTTTCTGTGTGTCTGTGTGTGTTTCTGTGTGTGTGTTTCTGTGTGTCTGTGTGTGTTTGTGTGTGTGTGTTTCTGTGTGTCATTCAGGCGAAAGGCTTCGAGCTGGGTTACCTGGAGAAGGTGGTGGAGGTGAAGGACACGGTGCACCGTCAGACTCTGCTGCATCACACCTGCAGCCAGGTGGTGGAAAATTACACCGAATCCTCCGACGTCTACTCCGAGATCCCCGCCATCACCCGCTCTGCCAAAGTAAAAACCTCGCCAACTCTCTGTTTACTCTGATGTCACGCTGCATATGTTCAGGTGGTGACCAGGTGATTTGTCCTGCAGGTGGACTTTGAGCTGCTGTCGGAGAACCTGGTCCAGCTGGAGAGACGCTGCAAAGCATCTTGGGACAACCTGAAGGTGGTGGCGAAGCACGAAACCAAGGCGATGCTGAAGAACAAGATGACGGAGTTCCTGAAGGACTGCACGCAGAGGATCATCATCCTCAAGGTGGTCCACAGGAGGGTCATCAACAGGTACATCACACTCCTCCTCCTCCTCCTCTTCCTCCTGCCGCCATCTTTTGTCCCCTGAACGTCTGCTTAAGAGAAACATCATGAGGGGTCTTTCTGCCCCCGCTCTTCCTCATTCTTCTCCTCCTCATCCTCATCTTTCCCGGCCCACTCGTCATTTTTCTCTTCCTCCTCCTTCTCCAGTAGCCCTCTTCCTCATCGTCTGCGTCTGGTTCTCCTCCATCTCTTCCTCCTCCCCTCTCTTCTCATCACTTCCTCTTCCTATGATCTGTCCTCATTCTCCTCATTTCTCTCCTCCTCCAGTCCGTTCTCCTTTTCTGCCTCTTTGTTGTCCTCCTTTTCAGTGTCCCGCACTTTCTTCTCCTCCTTCTCCTTCTTTGGCTCTTCTCTTCTTCCACATCCTTCCAATACTCTTCCTGCTTCTTCTGTCCTTCACCTCTTCCTCCTCTCCCTACTCCACCTCCGCCTTCGCTCCCCTCTCTCTTCCCCTCCTTTCTTTCTCTTCTTCCACCATTTCCTCACCCTTTTCAATGTTACCCACTTTCTTTTCTTTGTCCTTATTGTCCTCCTCCTCTTCCTCCATATGCTTCCAATCCTCCTCCTGCTTCTTCTCATTTTTCTTTCCCCTCTTCTTCATCTCCTTTCCCTCCTTTCCCACCTCACCCATATTCTTCTTTCTATCTTCTTCTTTCATTCTCTCTTTCTCAACCTCTCCACCTCCTCCTCCCCTCCTTTCTTTCTTCCTCCTCCTGCTGCATGTCATCTCCTCCTTCCCCTCTTCCCAATCCTATATCCCCCTCCTCCTCCCCTCCTCCTCCTCCTCCCTCCTGTGCCACCACGCCCATCTTCTTCTTTGTTTCCTTCTCTGTCTCTGGGTCCACCACTCTCCTGCTGTCTCCTGTGTCGGCATTTCCCCCTTTTCACATGGAAACTGTTTCTTTCCTCCATCTCCTCCTTCAACCCAAACTAGTCCTCCATCTCCTCGTCTTCTCTTTTCCCTCCCTCACTTCTGAACTCTCCTCTTTTTCCTCCTGCAGGTTCCACTCCTTCCTGCTGTTCCTGGGTCAGCCGCCCTCCTCGGTCCGGGACATTAAAGTCACCAGTTTCTGTCGGATCATCAGTGAGTTCTCCCTCGAGTATCGAACCACCAGAGAGCGAGTCCTCACCCTGAAACGGAAACGAGCCGCTCACAGAGAGAGAACAAAGACCCGAGGAAAGATGATCACCGAGGTAAACCTCCTCCTGCTCCTCTACGGGGGTCAGAGGTCAAAAGTTTAGACATAAGCAAAGAGTGAACAGCCACCCCTTATATTATCAGTGTTTATTTTATGATCTGGTGAGAACATTTTAAAATCTTCAGTAGACTAAGTCATCTCTCTTTTCTTTCACTCCATCCAGACTGAGAAGTTTTCGGGGGCGGTGCCTCAGGACGACAGCCACTCCCCCGTCTCCATGGCAGCAGACGGGGAGCCGGGTCAGGAGGAGGAGCACGAGAACATGAAGAACCTTCTGATCAGCACCAGCAACAGCCTGAGCGCCGAGCAGGGAGGAATGAGGCGCTCCAGGGGCTTCCGCAGTAAGACCCTGTTCAATCTGAGCATGCTCAGATCCTTTTAGTGGAAGATTTGAAGCTGTCAGATGAAAGTGACTGACAGGAACAGGAAACAAAAACATTATGATGCAGTCTTTGCTTCTCCTTAACCTCTTTTTCTCTTCACAAAAATCACAAAAAGTTAAACATTGTCCCTGCTCCGATTTTAAAAAAAACAAAAACAAAAAAAAAACAGCCTAAATAGGACTTTTCTCATAAATTGGGGGGTTTGTATACGGACTAGGGACACATATTAGTGTTAGAGAAACATGGTAAAACAATATGTGACCTTTAGATTCACCTGTTGGAGCGCTGAGACCTTTAACCATTTGAGATAGTTAAATTCTGATTCACATTCTTGATGGAGCTCATTTCCTGATCCTGGTCCTTGTTCTGGTCCTCAGGTCACGGCAGCGTGAGTCCGTCTCAGATATCTGCGGCCAGAGACGACGGCACCAACTCCCAGGACGACGCCACGGACGAGATCATGGACCGACTCGTCAAGTCTGTTACCCAGAATCCCTCAGATAGACCGTCCAGTCCCAAGTCCCGCAAACGGTCTCGAGTGAACAGGAAGTCATGTGAGTACCCGGATCCTGATTTTATTATTATTTGATACTTCGTCAGAGGCGCTTATGTTTGAGTCATGGTTTGATTGAAATGTTGCACTGCTCCTTTAAGAGCGGATCCACCTTGAGTTTGGAGGTTTGGAGGTCTCTGCAGGATCAGACTCTGTGTGGAGACATAACAGCAGCTCTGTGTCCACAACACGTCCGTATCACACCTCATGTTCATATCAGTGTTTTCACTTCCTCCATAAATCCTCAGTAATCAGATAATCAACACATCCTCGCTGCTGATAAAGTTCAGAGAACTCAGAAGTCACCCTGAGAAAGTGTTTGGAAGTGTTTGCCATCATAATGCACCTCCAGGGAGCAGCGACGACAAAGTCAGACTGACTCCTCGGAATTATTAATTTGGGAAAAGATCGAGAATCAACTTGTCTCATTTTCCCGGACTTTCCAGACCTACTTTAGTCCGATTCATTCAGAAACAAAGAACATTTGAGGTGAAGTTTTCCTAAACCTGGGCCCTGTTGGTACCTACTTTAGACACATCAGTCCTCACATATGACTCATGTGTCTAAAGTAGGTACCTGCAGCAGGAGCTTTCTTTTTTTTCTATAATAAAATATAAACTCAGATTAAAGAAAGAAAAGTTTACAGAACAGTCAAAACTCAGTGTGCTGTGATTCTTAAAGGGATACTTCACCCATTTGCATTAAGCTTTGTATCATTACGAACCTGGTAGTGTTTTTGAATGGTCGTGCATCGCGCCCTCATTTTCCCCTGAGATGGGAAATCTTTCTATTTCTACCTGCGTTGCTGTGCATTCTGGGATTTGGTGCCTTTCATCCACATGAGCCAAGAAGGCACCAACTTCAAAATGTGTTTCACATTTCTACTACATGTATGACCCAATGTCAACACAGAGTCGTGTTTCAACGGGTGAAGTATCTCTTTGAGAATGAGGCAATGGAGCCATCACACAAGTAAATAAGAGAGGAAAAAAAAAAACATCCAAATGTTCACGTCATCTTTGTAGCCTGATCATTGCAGCTGATTGATTATTGTTGGTAACAGATGTGCACATGATTGAGTAGATCTTATTCAGTCTATAAGGAGGGGACATGATTGGAACAAAGTCAACAAATTCAGTTTTATTCGACAGGAAGACAACAAGCTGCTGTTCTTGTTTTTCAGACTTCTGTTCTCTGTGATGAGAGAACTATCTGCAGCTGCTGACAAACAAACAAATAAATAAATAATAAACTTGTGTGTGTGTGTGTGTGTGTTTCAGTGAGGAGGACTCTGAAGAGCGGCCTCAGTCTGGATGTGGTTCAGGCTCTCGGACTCAACAAGACAGCAGACAAGGTCTGAACGATCAATCATTGAACATTATCTACAAGAGACTGAACCCAGACCAGCCGAGTGAGACCGCCGAACGCCACGAGAGAAACAGACCGTGTTCCTGCCTCTGTTTCCTGCACGAGAAGAAGCTCCATTTTGATGTGTTTGCTAGTGTGGCTCGTTAATTTAACCGACTTCTTGAAGCTCTTTCACATGAATGTTTTACCAATGTGACACCAAAGAAATGACAGCAAACAGCCGAGAGATTTAAGATTTGGCGTACTCCACATCGGGACCTTTTAAGATAAAATAAGCTTTAAAAAAAAAATGTTTAACGCTCTAACGTGTTCAAAGTCCTAAAAGTTTAAGTGAGTGTTTGCTGGCACTAAAAATCTGAAAAATCACTAAGGTGGTACCGAACGGTTCAACACTTCCCCTGCCACTGCTTGAATGTGTGTGTGTGTGTGTGTGTGTGTGTGTATAAAGCGTCTGTGTATCTGTGTGTGTGTTATTTTATTAAAAGTAATCAGGATGTACAGTCGTTGGATGTGAGCACGTATCGTCTGTACAGTCAACTTGTTGTTGTTGTTTTTTTTTTTGCACTTTAGTTCAGTTTTTTTGTGACTTGTAGTTCAAATTCTTCTTCACTGGTTTTCAGACACAAACTGTGTGAAGGACGACGACTGTTTTAACTTAAAGGTGAACATTTTACAGAAAAAAGAACGTAAAGATCAAATGTGTTCCTCATCAATAATAAAGGTTTTTAATAAAAAGAACGACAGGATTTACGTATCTATTCAAACATCTGCTTTGATTAAAAGCATTTCATTATTCAAATAGTCAACCTGAAGTGGTCTCATACATTACAACACGATTATAAGCAGGGGCGTGTCCAACTGGGGGCTCTGATTTATGAAGGGGAATATTATTTAACCGTTCAGATTTATTGAATGAAAAGTCGTGCAGTTTGGACTTCAGACGGTATAAAACATGTGACATAACAAAACAAACATGTTTAAAAAGTGCTTCATGGTTTTTATTTTTAATGGCACACTTTCTTGGACCCACTGAAAACGGCTCCGCAACCCACTTTTGGGTCCCGACCCACCAGTTGAGAACCATTGGTCTAAAGTCTGATGTGCACACAAACACACACAAATAAACATCAATTTTTTTTACCCTTTGTAACTTCATCGATCAGATGTTAGCTTGCAAGTACTTGAGAAAGTGGTTGCAAACTCTTCCATAGTCCAACTACTTCAAAATGACAGGAGCTGGCGATATTATTGTCCCGACACTTTGCCACTTAATTCAAAACAAGTAAGACGATGTGCTTTACTTTCACCTGATTTTTTAATTAAAGTAAGAACAAGCGATAATATGTTACACTGAGATGTAAAGAAAACTACTTGCAGCCTTTGTAAGCAGAAAAAAAGACCTAATGGTTGGCAATTAGTCAATCATAGTTGAGGATTCCTGGGGTGGCCAATTAGATTTCTAGGGGGAGGGGGGGCAATGCCACTCCTGTCCTCCCCTCTGGACACGCCCCTGATTATAACGCCCAGGACTGTGAAAAAAGACGTTACGTTCAGCAACTCTGCAAAGAAAGGTTCTGAATTGATTCTTAAGTTGAGCAAAAATGACCTGAAGGTGTCGTCATGGTTACTGTCCTCATACTGAACGTCTTCTATAGACACTTAATACGCAGAAGGTTAGCGCAGGTGGGGTGAGAGAGCCGTCCATGTTCAGTTTTATTTAAAGAATGTTTTTATGTGTTCTTCTTCCGTTGTCAGAACAAAAAAAGAAAAAAGTGTAGAGGCTGCTCTATTTCAAACTGTATTAATGTTTCATAATCAATAAAGATGTAATAAAATACTACTTGAAAAGTGTCAGAAATGTACAATAAAATAAAAAACAAGCAACTTCACGCCTCTTTGTTCATGTTAAATTGGTTATTGATGTTTGTGTTTTGCAGGAGAAATTTGAAAATGTTCAAACCCTCAGTGGGATTTTTAACAGTATCATTAAAGGTCACATATTCTCTCCTTTTCAAGAAATTTAAATTAGTCTCAGAGCTCCCCAGAACATGTGTGTGAAGTATATTTTTCTAAATCCACTCTGATCCTGTATTTGATCATGTCTATAAACCCCTCTATTTCAGCCCTGCTCAGAACAGGCTGTTTCTGTGTCTGTACCTTTAAATATGTAAATGAGCTGTGTCTGACCACGCCCCCTCTCTGGAAGTTCTTGGGTGTGCTCGGGCTTTCTCGCTGTCCTATTGTTTACGGTGAGAAGGCAGACTCAGAGGGCAGAACAAACACCTAGCTGTGGTAGTGTCATCCACCTGGGGGAGGGGTTACTGCCCTTTGTGATGTCATGAAGGGAAAATCTCCAAACAGACTGTTTGAGCACACATTTTCTGGAAAGTGGAGCAGGCAGAAGACACAGAGGACGGACTTTTCTCATCATTTGGGGGGGGGGGCTTAACCTTTAAAATAAACTGGTAAACGTATTTGAATTGTATTACTGTTTTCAAAACTTAAAGGTCAAATTAAAGCCATTCATTTTGTTTTTATCCAAAGCAACGAACATCAAAGAGTAAGTACAACATTTTCTTATTAATATATCGTCATCAATAACTACATCGACAGTTGTTCTTGGGATTTCCAGCTGGCCCTGAAGGTCAACTGTAAAAACAGTTCACATAACTTTGAATGTTTTGTTTTTTTCTCAATTAACCCTTCAGGGCCACCGTAGAGTGTTGTATTGATTGTGATGTTTATATCGTGCATGACTCCAGTGTTACAGAAGTAAAACAGAGGTATTACTTAGTGAACTACATTAACAAAGCAGACTGTCCCTGTAAGAATATCTGACTGTGTCTACCTGCAGTGTCTCCGTCTCTTTAAAGCTCGTGGTCGCCGGGTCACATGTCCAGCTCCGGTGTCCCCTCCTCCTCTGATTACCGGAGCCTGCGTGTGTTTGAGAGAGTGTGTGTGTTTGTGGATGTGTGTGTTGTTATAGTAAACCGGCTGCCGGCCCTCCTCCGCGGCTCCGTGTCCTCTCTGTGTCTCGGTATATAAGGATCAGGAGGGGGGGATGTCAGCCCGCTGACCACCGGGGGGGAAGATGCTGCCGCTCGGTGTGATGCTGCTGCTGCTGCTGACGGCCGCTGCCGCCGCCGCCGACGTGACTGGGACCGGCGCTCCGCCGCTCCTTGAGCCGGGGCTCGGCTTCTCTTCACCGGTCCCCGCCTCTCCCTCCGCCCCGCCGCTGCTCCTTCTCCCGAGACCCCAAGCGGACCACGGGGCGCCCGGTGTAGCCTTGGCCCGGTCAGCGGCGGAGGAGCCGCCCGGCCCCGGAGTGGAGCTAGAGGAAGGGGAGCATCATCATCATCACGGCGGCGGGTACAAGATCGTCCAGTGGGAGTGGAGCTACGTCCAGACTCCGTACATCATCGCCATCTGGCTCCTGCTGGCCAGCGTGGCCAAGATCTGTAAGTCCCACTCCTCTGTCAGACTGGGTCTTTACTGGTCTTTACTGGGATATGAACCAGAGCTATGATTACACAATGAAGTGTTTAAAACTCACTGTAAAGCTGCGTGTAGGCCACTGGTTTTTAATGGTTTGGCTCAATTAACATAGAACTAAAACTGTAGCATGCAATCTGAGTCTACTTTTCTACTGATTCAGTTTCATGATGTGAAGAATAAAACCATGAGAGCAGAGAAACTGCAACTAGAAAAACCAACCTACTGCATCACCATCATGTTCTTAAATTGATGTTATGTATGATAAATAAAAACAAAGAGACAGAAAATGATACATTTAAATTAAGCATGTTGAAATTCATCAATTATGTGCTTCATCCCTTTACAATTACATTGATTTTATTCATAGTTGGAGCTCTGACTTATACCAGAATTAGTCTAAAGCAGAAGCAGAAGTTGATTAGTGATGCCAGAGAGGTTTTTTTCTTTTCTAACACAGACAGAAATATTGATATCTCTTCAACGAGGACTATACTTCGATCTGAAATGAGCATTTGTAGGCGATTAGTGTTGCAGAGAAGTTAGGAGGACATGTGTCTCCTCTCTCCACATTAACATAACCAGAATGAATAAAGCACACGAGTCAGCCAGTGAACACACACACACACACACACACACACAGTGTCCCCGATCTTTTCACAACACACACGACTGTCTGACAGTTTTGAATGTGTTTGTTCACACTGATAAATATTCTCCTAACAGGAAACATAGTAACAGAAGAGGGTACAGTCTGCCTTTTTGACAACGATCATGCATGATAAATATTACAAAAAAATGTGAAGACTCAGAGTCAAGTTAGTTTACACATACAAGGAATTTTGTCTTGTTGTTTCGGTGCCAAAACAATGAACATAGATGTAGAATAAAAAAAAGTAGAAAGCAGCAGAACCGGTGCTGACAGAGGATTTAAAAAAGATTAACGCGAGACCCGACGGTTCATCATCCAGAACACTCGAGAAACTACAATCAGAGGAGAGTCTGGAGTCTGATGGGGCAACAATCAACCCTCCAACCAGCAATCAGCAAGGCAACAAGAGTGAGATCTGTCAGATGGGAAACCCTTAGGGAGGTTTCCTACTGTCATTGCAAAATTGTCACATTTTCAGCCGCTGCTTTGTGGCCCTCTAATGGTCTGTGGCCCCCAAGCAGTTGCCTGTTGACAAGCAGCGCCTCTGACTATAATATAAACAGAATTCAGCTGCTCGTCTTCTAACACACTCCTGCACCCTCACCCTCAAAACATCACAGACTCCCCTCCTCACTCTCCAACCTCAAGAAATCCCGAAAAAACTCACCTCCTCAACATCGCCCACAACCACTAACAAACTCTGTCCTCATCCTCCTTCTCTTAGCATCGCAAGAAAACAGAAGTCTCTCTACTCTGACTCTGAATCACAGAGCTCATGCTTCATTTAATTTGTCATGTATAAGGCAGAGACACTTTTCATAGAGACATTAGTCGAGGAGGAACACACCAGCAGGACTGTTCACTCAGCCTCCTTCTGTCTTCTGTCTCCTGTTTAAACATTTTATACCAGCGTCATCACACACACACACACACACACACACTCACACACACACACACACACACACACACACACACACACTCACAGACTGTCATGTTTCCTGGGCAGCTGGTGACTCACTGTGCTGCAGAACAATAACACACTATACATGCTGCTGATTAAGGTGGTCATGTTACACACACACACACACACACACACACACACACACACACACACACACACACACACACACAGATGCTCTGTCCATTCATTCTGAGTCCGCTCTTCTCTCATCATGTTGAGCATCAAACCAGATACAACTAAAGTGCGACTCACATATCAAACTTTTTCTTCAAAAGATCAGAATCATTTTTCTTGACATTATTATATTTTTTAAGATATATCGGGGGGGGGGGATGCTGCCACTTGTATCCGTCCTGGACTACGTGATGTTTTTTATACGCAGACTCTGTGTGTCACGGAGCCATGACGTTCATCACTGATTTTAAAATCCCTCACCCATCACCGCCTTCTGTCAGCACATGTTGGATGGTCTTCTTAGTCCACATGAAGACTTAAAACACTGACTAATTTAAGTCTTCTTCCCTCTTACCGTCTTACCGACATCAATCAGAAGAGTACAGGAACTTCTAATGTTCCGCCTCGGGAACTTTTCTTACTGTCTGTTCCGAAGGTCAGAACTGAACTGGAGAAAGTTTGCTGCTCCCTTTAGTCGGAACGAATTACCACAAGACCTGAAACTTAACGAGCCGCTCCCATTGGACGATTTTAAGAGGATGTTAAATGACTGGGAGGCAAACATGTCAGGCTGTAGATGTCCTGTCTGATATTTTTATGATTGTGGGCGATCCTGACAAATATTTGCAGCTTAAATTTGTTATTGGTGCCTCATAGTTATGTTGCTTATATTACATTGTAAGAAACTTGAATGTGCTGCCGCCTGTCTTGGCTTCATCTGCACTTGCAAATTGCTGTATTGAACTGTAACTACTCTTTGCACTTTGCATCCCACATCCCACCGCGTTGTGTCTTCATTGCCCTGCATTATACCTACTACATCACCTTTCACTGAAACTACACAACTCTGCAACGTTTCTTCCCATCACTGTGTATCACACTGAATAATAATTACACTTTTAAACATGAAAAAAATGACAACTCTTCAGTACTGTAGCTCCGACACACTGCACTGTATCTACACAACTCAGCACTGTTTATGCAAGCTAGCCTGGTAGTGACAATGCCAATACTCCTTACCCGACCACATGGCCCCTCCTGGCCCCCGCAACTCAACCGTGTAGACTTATGGGGCAGCAAGAGCGAGGGCATCACCAGGGTTGTCAAATAGGAACCTCCCTCCACCGGCGTTTCTCCTAATTAGTCCCACGACACCTCGGGAAGCCACCCCCCCCCCCTCCATGCTAGCTCTCCCCGCCCACCACACCCACATGCAGAACTTCTACATTGACCCTTCTTCATCACATGGTCATCACAGCTCAAGCAGTATTGCCACTTTAAAACAGACCAGGATCTGTACATGCAAGCTCCAGGTATAGTGACAACACCACATTGCCCCTTATGGCGCCCCAAAACCACAATGAAAACTATTCCTGGTTATGTGCCAATCATGCTGCATCATCATATTGCACGCTATCAATTCAATTTCAATTCAATTTATTTTGTATAGCGTCAACTCATAACAAGTGTTATCTCAAGACACTTTACAAAAAGCAGGTAAAATACCTTACTCATTGTCTGTTAACATTACAAAAGAGCAGGTAAAAAGACCTTACTCATTGTTATGTTACAAAAGAGTAGGTTAAAAGACCTTACTCATTGTTATGTTACAAAAGAGTAGGTTAAAAGACCTTACTCATTGTTATGTTACAAAAGAGCAGGTTAAAAGACCTTACTTATTGTTATGTTACAAAAGAGTAGGTTAAAAGACCTTACTCATTGTTATGTTACAAAAGAGCAGGTTAAAAGACTTTACTCATTGCTATCATTGTTAAAGAATAAGAGTACTTCATGATTAAAGCCAAAAGAAAACAGAAAAAGCACAGCCTGACAGTGAAAATGTTTCATGTTGGAGCTTCATGTTGAGCAGCTGAATGTTCTCAGTGTTTCTCGCCTTGTCGTCCGTCTGGTGTGTGTGGGAGGTTCAGCTGTGTGTGTGTGTGTGTGTGTGTGTGTGTGTGTGTGTGTGTGTGTTCAATGTTGGTTTACACAAAGTTTCTTTGAGAATCTTCTCTAGCAGACTCGTTTTTTTGTTTCTCAATCAACTGTTGTCTCGTTAAGATAACGTTCAGCCAAACCTTCCATTTTTGTCGCCTTTGTTCCCCCGTCCTCATCCTCGTCAGTCGGGTGGAGGAGAGGTGTTCATGCATCAGGAAGTAATCTGTAGACTCAAGCTGGGGTCAGACAAGAGTCTTCATGCTGTGTTCAAGTCTGAGTCAGTAGCCAGGAATTTTAAGCTTGTAGGGTCATACTGAAAAGAGTCAAACAGCAAACAGAGAAAGTGGAGCGTTGTCACAGTTTCAGTTCAGCTGCAGATATTCTTCATGGTGAAACTTCACAGTTTACACTCAGATGTTTGTTAAATACAGAGGAAGAGACAGGAGAAGATAAAGACATAAGAATATTAAAAGACATCAGGAAGGACAGGAGACAGGAGGACTAAGTTACATTAATGAGAGTAGGATGTAGTAAACGCTAAGACAACTGTCTTTAGTTAAAGACTGGAGGATGTAAAAGAACATTTGGTGACAAAGAAGGGGATGAAGTTGAGGACATGAGGAGGAATTAAGGGGAAAGAGGAAGAACGAAAGGACAGGAAGAAACAGGAGACGGCAGGAGGATGTGGTTAAGGACACACAAAGGAAGCTTCTGAATAATGTTAAGATGTAGTAAAGGACAAGAGGTGTAAGTGAAGGACAGGATGTTGTCTGCAATGATGTAAGGAGGTCATGAATCAATGGAAAGGAAGATGACGAGAATGATCAGAGAATGTAGAGAAGGACATGAGATACGATTGGCAACAGACCAACAATCATCATGATCATTTAATTAGGTGATTAAAAAGCTAAATCCTGATTTGTGATCGAGCCCAAAACTCAAAGAAATAAAAAATCTTTCCTCCATCACAGTAAGAATCTTAAGAAACAGCTGATGAAGATGAAGTCGTCATATAAAAACAGAGCTGTGTGTAGTTCAGATGGTCTGTGATCACTTCAGTCTTTGATGTGTTTGTGTCCTCGTGGTGATTTATGAGGCCTGCCACTCAAGCCTGTCCTTGTGTGTGTGTGTGTGTGTGTGTGTGTGTGTGTGTGTGTGTGTGTGTGTGTGTGTGTGTGTGTGATCACTGGTCATGACTCACAGCTGACCTTAAATAATGAATGTCTAACTACGTGTCCAAGGCCATGTCCTGCATCATGTTAGCTACGCCTAAAAGAGACAAATGTACCGACCAATCAGAGAGGGGGCATTATGACTCATCGGCTTTTACACACACTCTGAAATTCAGGTATTTCAGGTGTAAAATGAGTCGTGACTCAGCAGCTGCAGCTCTGTACCTCTCATCACATTTCTGCAGCGGCTGAGTTTAGGAGACATCGTAAAAAGTGATGGCAGCTCGGTGTCGCTTTACTGAGAGAGATCATTTGGCTCAGCAATAAGAGTCGTCTCCTTTGGCTCCCAATCAGCCCTTCATTAAGTCCTACCTCTTGATTTATAATTCAGTCAGTGTAGGCAATGTTTTCACCCAAAACAGAACATTTGAGACTACAATTTGGTACCACGCCTACAGATTTAGCTTTTTTAAGGGAGAATCTGTAAATGAAGCTCACTCTGTGACTGATAATGGTGAGAGACAACTCTTTTTAACACCAAATCCTAATTTTGTACGCTCAAGAATAGGCAAACAGAATCAGTTAAATGTATGTAAGAACACAAGTCTTGGTGATATTGTTCAGACCCCGATGAGATTACGTCATGTTAGGATCTGCTATTTGCATTTCCAGAACTTCCCTCTATACTTCTGCCTCCAACTAGCTTTAAAACCAATGATTGCATCTTTAAAAGGACGAGAAAAAGAATTTAAAAAAAACCTCCTGATGATTGTTTCTGCTGCTGTCTCTCCTCCTGCAGTGTTCCACTTCTCCCAGCGCTTCACCACCGTGGTCCCTGAGAGCTGCATGCTGATCCTGCTGGGTCTGGTCCTGGGTGGAGTTGTCCTCATAGCCAATAAGAAGCAGCTCTACCAGCTAGAGCCCGCCCTCTTCTTCCTCTTCCTGCTGCCGACCATCGTAGGGGATGCCGGTTACTTCATGCCAGCCCGTCTCTTCTTTGACAACCTGGGAGCCATCCTGACGTACGCCGTGGTGGGAACGCTGTGGAACGCCTTCTGCACCGGATTCTGTCTGTACGCTGCCAAACTGCTGGGCGTCATTGGTGAGTCTGAGCTCTCACTGAGAACACAAACACTGAGAACAAATCTAACAAAGTTAACTTTGTCACATTTGTTACATGCTTACATGGTATGACTCTAACATGCATGTCTTTCACCAAAGTATCCAGTGTTGTTTTCTAATCTGAAACCAAAACTCCACCATGAAAAATGTTAGAGACAGGACAGATCCGATCTTATATCAGTATCCGGTTTGATATTGATGTAATTTACGTATGGGATATCGGACTGACGGCGCTGAGCCATGTCACCGATCCAGAACGTTTTTTGTGCACTTTAAAGAGGACATATTATCCCCCTTCTCCATCTTTTCAAACAGTCCCCTGTGGTCTAAATGAAACATCTGTGCTGTGCTTTGGTCAAAATATAACATGAATCAAGGAGCAGAGGAGGTTTGTGACCCTGTATAAACCAGCTCTCTCAGAACGCTCCGTTTTGGTGTGTGTGTCTCTTTAAATGCAATGAGCCCCCCCTGAGTTTTCCCAGTAGACATCACTCCTCTGTAGCGAGAATAAAAAAAAGTTTTGTTCTAGGCTGGGGCTTGAGTCCATGGGTGGAGATACACGACGGGGGAGGATATTTTTTTTTTTTTACCAGAATCCCACTGTGACATCACAAGTTGAGCAAATTTGAAACAGAGCATTCCTCTCTGTGTTGTAAGACTTATGCAGACCACAAACAAAGGACTGGATGGATTTATTTCACATTTTGTGGGTCAGTTGACACTCAGGTTACACAAATATATGTTCAAAAACACTATAAGTGGATTATTCATAATATGTCCCCTTTAAACATTCTCAACTCACACATTCTCACTTTGACAACATTCAGACTGAACTGTAAGAAGTGACTACAAATCGTCTCCTTGACGATGTTCAGACGAGATGGAACAGCTCCTTCTATGTCATGAAAATTACAATTCTTAATTTTCAATTTAAAATATTTAATTTAAAAAACCTGGCGGCTGTTGCTGCTTCCTGTTTGTATATGAAGCCAGAACAATGCAATGCCGGGTTTACTACTGCTTTGTGTAGCCTCACTTATACTACCAACAACAACAATAACACTATTAGTTATGATAATAAAAATATCACAATCAATATCGTTGACGATACGTATCAGAATCTGATTGCAACAAAAAGAAAAATAGATCGGTGAATCTCTAAGAAATGTACCAATCATAGTTAATTAGTCATGTATGTAACATACTCACACCGTGTAATTAACATACATTATGCTTTGATAGCTAACATACCAGTTCTTATTTCACGTCAAAGACCTTAATCCAGGAGGCTGATGATTGTTTTTGATGTTTATCTTGAATCTTGAATCCATGTTAGTGCAATGTGACTGACTCTAGTTCTATGAAATAAACCAGACAGGTTGTTTTAGAGTTATTGAATAATGAAAACTAGAAAATAATGTTCAGTGAAAGTCCCACTGACGGACTGTCAAACATTTTCAGAACCTTTCAAACTCAACTTGTCAAATGTGTTTGTTTGCAGACGAGCGAGTGCAGGCGGAGCTCTTGGACTTCTTGTTGTTTGGAGCGTTGATCTCCGCCGTCGACCCGGTGGCGGTGTTGGCTGTGTTCGAAGAGGTTCACGTCAACGACACGCTCTTCATAATCGTGTTCGGAGAGTCGCTGGTGAACGATGCCGTCACTGTGGTGAGACACACACACACACACACACAAACACACACACACAGAGCACAAATTCATATGTAAACACCTTATCATGTGAGGTGAGTTCATACGTTACTATAGCAACAGAGAGGCTTACAAGGTTGAAAAAGAGCACAACAAACTGTTGACTGTGTGACTGTGTTTACTGATTTTCCCCTCAGTGCTCCTCTCTGGTATTTACTCCAGTGCCATGTGCACTGTGGAGTATTTGTAGTAAAACGTAACAGTTGGACCCGCTGGAACAGTAATCAGAATCAGAATTAGGTTGAATGCCAAGTAGGTTTTCAAATACCAAGAATCTGCTTATTTTGGTGCATAACAATAAAACACACATGCAGCAGAAAAAGAGAAAAAGAGTGACGCAGATTTTTTATAAAATACATAAAATACAGCAATACAGATTTTTATTGTTAATTGTAATATTTCCATTATGCCTCAGCATCTGGGCCTCGAACTGCCTCAGGTTTGGTTTTCATGGAAAAGTCAGCACACTAAATGTCGCTTGATCTGTACGCTGCTGCTCTTCCCAGATAAAACATACTTTGTAGGACATTTAGTGTTCTGTCTCTTTATATCCTTTTTGCAGATGTGCACTTGACATGTTTTATTACGGTTGAGTGTGCCCCCTTTTTGTTGTTTTGGTTTTAATGGAAACAGAATTAGGGTGCATTCGAATTGTCCCTCTTATCTCCTTTCACTATCCACTTTACCTTAACCCCGGGGAAAACGTCACAAGGTCATTAAATGCGACGGGCCGGCGGAGGTTAATGACGCGGGTCCGCCGTGTTGAAACTACAATGTTCTGAAAATGGACTACTAAAAGCGCATCTAAAAAACTTTCCCCTGTGCCTTCTTACCGGTGAAATAATCCTAATTAACACATGCTTCGGGGTCATTTCACTCAGTTAGGAACCTTCCTAAGAAAAAATGACAATTCGAACGCACCCTTCGTCTGCGTTTGTTCAACAGGGAGGGCCATGTGTGGTATATTCCACGGCGGCCATTTTTCTTTTGATGTCAAGCTCAGGTTAAATTTCTTTGTTGTTGGTTCCAGGTTGTCATTGGTTTAATTGTTAGAAATCCTGCAAATTGTCAACATTTTACTCTTCCACAGCGACTAAAAGACGTTGAAGAACATAAATACAAAGAAGTGATAACAGGCCACATTTCAGGTTAAAAAGAACACATTTCATAACTCGACAGCTTTTCAGACACTAAAGTTAGCATTCAGTCACTTCCTAATTACAATTAATCGCTAATGGTGTGTATTACAATTCTACAACTACAAAATTCTACAATTCACTTAGCAGACGCTTTTTATCCAAAGCGACGTAAATCAGAGAGTAAGTACAACACTAATCCATTCATACACCGCCACAGAAGAAGCGCGAGCAATGCAGGGTTAAGTGTCTTGTACACAAGGACACATCGGACGTGTTGCTCAGCTGGGGAACCCTCAACCTTCTGGTTGTTAGGCAACGACTCTACCAACTGAGCCACAGCCGCACATACTAGCTTACTAGCTAGTGGTTGCTTCAATTGAGCATTGGTCAAATGCTAACATTCCCTGCTGTTATGGTAGCTAGTCATATAGAGGAAACCGTATTTCAGGTGTTAAGTCACAAACAAAGATTTTATTTGAACCTTAAATATGGTCCTTATTGCCTCCAAATTTCCCTTTTGCATTGTTTTTGCAGTATTTTCTATTTACTCTTAGCACAGCAACATCTATACCATACAATCAACGTTGTATGGAAAAGTTGTGACACCAATTATTATGTTAGTTTAATACCAACATAATAATTTAAAGGTCACATATTCTCCTCCTTTTCAACCGGTTTAAATAAGTCTCAGAGCTTCCCAAAAACATGTGTGTAAAGTGTCTTGTTCTGAATCCACTCTGATCCTGTATTTGATCATGCCTATAAACTCCTCTATGTCAGCCCTGCTCAGAACAGGCTGTTTCTGTGTCTGTAGCTTTAAATGTAAATGAGCTGTGTCTGACCACGCCCCCTCTCTGGAAGGGCTTGGGTGTCTCTAGCATTCTCACTCCATGTCCTATTGTTTACGGTGAGAAGGCAGACTCAGAGGGCAGAACAAACACCTAGCTGTGGGAGTGTCACCCACCTGGGGGAGGGGTTACTGCCCTTTGTGATGTCATGAAGGGAAAATCTCCAAACGGCCTGTTTGAGCACACATTTTCTGAAAAGTGGAGCAGGCTAAAGACGGAGAGGATGGACTTTTCTCATAATTAGTGGAGTTGGTGGACAGACTACGGTCACATGTTAGTGTTAGAAAAACATGGTGAATATGTGACCTTTAAAATGCTAAATATACATTCTTACAATGTGAGACAACACAGCAAACCTTCTTTTTTAAGAATGTATCTTCTTTAACTGTGTACCACTCTAGATTTATTTGGTGAGTGTTGACATGGACATCTTGGGAAATACATTATCTAAATGTAAATATTTATTTTACAGAATTTAAAGAATGAAAAAAAAAACAAGTCACAGAATTGCTGCTTCATCCAGACATACAGAGTCTCCCTTTGCGCTGCTGTCTATCCACAAAAATCCAAAAAGCACACGTTAGTCTCTGTTTGGTCCATTTTTCACAACTTAAATCAGCTCTTTCCCAACATTTCAGTGACCTGTTCCCTCAAACATGCTTATCAGCTGCTTCAATAAAGCTCTTGAGCTGCTGCTGCTCTTGCAGAAGTAGAGGCTTTATACTATATTTAGTATTGGTTTTAAACATGAGGTTTTTTTTTATTTGGGCACTTGGTGCAAGCATGTGTAAGTAAGACATGAAAGAGACAACATTTTGGTGAAGGGTAAGGTTGTATACAAAGAAGATTTAAGCATTTTTTAAATGTGTTACTTGACTCCATGCCAAAACAGATGCTCAGAGTTTTTAAATGTGACTTCAGATTGGACTGAGGATGTTCACAATAATTGCAGAAGAACATGAATTGATCTAGCCCTGAAATGAACAAGTCGTCCGGCCTGTAAATACTTTGGTAGATCTTTGGAAGATCTTCATACCATCTGTAAAGATCCCAGTAAACTACAGATGTTTAATGAAAACACAACAGCGGCAAGAAGAGCAGAGAAACTTCACATTTACTCTGTAGCAGTTTGAGAAAGCAGAGATTAAACAGTTCAGAGCAGATTAACTCTGCACTTTTCTAATCCCCAGCAGCACTCAGAATAATCCCACCAACAAATGGAAAATCCAAAGTGTGGGAAAACGGCAGCTCTGACCTGCAATCCCAGAAAGAACCAAAGAAGAAAAGAGACGCAGGGTGGGCTTTTTCTTACAAGGCTCAGTGGTGTACGCACTTAAAATTCTGTTACTTCATCCTCAGTGTTTTACAGTTAATGACGTCACAGTAGCCACAGTAGTGATATTTCCCCAAATCCACCCTTTATAAATGCCTTCAGAATAGACACCTTTTTATGTACCTTATGTCAGGTTTACAGCACAGCAGTAGTTTCTGCTTCACAGTACATTATTTGTGTGCATAACTCAGTATTGGAATCAGTTTTCTCAGGCTTTCAAGTCCAATTTTCAAAGTGGTCCTATTTATGGAAACATCATGGGTGTCAAGAAGTAAGGCCCGACCGATATGAGATATTTGGGGCCAATACCAATATGGATGTTTAAGAGAGAAAAAATCTGATACCGATATATCGGCCGATATCTTTCTCAGATCTATGAAATCTGTAGAGATAGATGGATATACATTTACACATTTATCCCTCAAATGCAGTTATCAAGTACTTGAGGAAAATATTTTTAAAGAAGACAAGATGGTCACGCAACTGGAAAGTAACAGTGCATGTACGAGCATCCCCGCTTCACACTCTGGAGAGTGATAATGTTTGTTGTAATCCATATAGCGCCCTCTGCTGGTGAAAGAGAACTGCTAGTTTAATACAATGAAACTCAAATTAAATGCTATTTGACTGGTGAATAAATCTAGTAATACCGGCGCATATCTGCGATAAAATGAACCGATACCGATAGTCCCTGGATAAGCTACTATCGGCCGATATTATCGGATGGCCATTTATTGTTCAGGCTCTACTATGAAGTTAGCTAAAATGCGATGGGTATTAAAACTTCAAAAGGATATGTGTGTCCAGTGTTCATGATCTTGTCCCAGACTTCTTGCTGCACAAGTAGAACCTTTTTCCAGTTTAATAACTGTCTTAACCACTACAGGTAACTCGACATCTGATCCTCTTTTAGACGCCCAACAGGCTTATGCCTCAGTTTTCAGATTTCAGCTCAGCTTCTAAAGAAGTGAAATGTTTACCTAACCCTGTCAGCGTTAACCCAATCATTTTGATGTGATTAAGGTCCTCAATTAATGCTCTTTTATTGCATTAATTCAGTGTTAATTAGGGCGCCATAGATAAGCCAAAGCAGTGTCTCCCTGTAGTCACATTGATGTAAATGAATGACACGGCTGCGCCTTTGAATATCTCTTTTTACTTAAAAAAAACTTCTGGGTGGCTCATTTGACATATCAAAAGTAATATCCACCTTGTGGACATCAAACATTTGACTTTTCTCCTGCTGTGAGGGACATGTGTGAAAGGGGAGCTCTGGAAATCTTATTTATCTGCCTAACTCATCATCTTACCAAGGTCATTTGGATAGAAACCAAAGCTTTTAGATTTCCCAGATAGACCCATGTTACCCATTGTTACAGTGTTTAAATGACTCCATTCAGGTTGATTTTCTATTCATTTCCAGCGATCTTAAACTTCAATCAAGTGCTGAGTTAAGAAGTTTTGACCTTCTTTAAAAAAGGTAGAAGCCTGTCAAGGTTTCATTCTTTAATCTTTGGTGGGGCCTAAAACAAAAAAAGAGAAAAGTCCTTCACAGTGTTTGATCAAGGTTTAGATCATAGACTGTTTAGATTCATTGAGATTGTCTGTTGCATAGAAACAGTGACGATTTGATGCACTTAAATTTGTACAACCTGAAGTGCTCTAACTTGAGTTCCCACTAAACTGAACTGAACAAACTGAGTTACAGCTTTACCGAAACATACCTCTAATCTTATCCCCGTCCCTGCTCTTTAGGTTCTTTATAAAGTCTACATTTCCTTTGTGGAAGTGGGAGCAGAGAACGTACAGACGGTGGATTACTTCAAAGGAGTCGGTGAGTTCAGACAAAGGAAAAAAATCAAAACTTTTTATCACACTCTTCTGTAACCCATCCGATTTCTTCTCCTCGTTCTCGGCAGCCTCCTTCCTCGTCGTCAGCATCGGGGGCACCATGGTGGGTCTGGTGTTTGCCGTCATCCTCGGCTTCATCACTCGTTTCACCAAGAAGGTTCGGATCATCGAGCCTCTCTTCGTCTTCCTGCTGGTTTACCTGGCCTACCTGACCGCGGAGCTCTTCTCCTTGTCGGCCATTCTGTCGTGAGTCTGCACCCAAAGTACAACCAGAAAAACATGTCCTCTCCTTCTTCTGCTGTTTATAGAAAAATGGCTCAGCTGCCTACAGCACAGTGAGATTCTAAAGAGCTTTACATGCAATCAACCTGAAATGGACTTCAGTTTCTGGATCTCCCACATTGCAAGAAAACAAAGGACCGCACAGAAAGGTCATATGGAGATGTGCTGGGAGACTCAGCGCTGCATGTTAACATGTTTATCAGCTGAGGAGGAAAGGTTTTGACCTTTGCAGTGATCATTTGATTTCTGTTGCCCGATACTGAAAGAGATGGGCAAATTCATGAGGAAAGCAAAACTAAAAATGTGTAAATCAAAGTGACATGAAAATGCCAAACTTACTTTGGGTTCTAGAGTTGGTAAAGGAAGTTAATGTTTTGTGGTTAAAGGAGTAGATGAGTCATCAGTGGGGACTTCTTTGCTGGAGTTTTACGACAGGTTGCTAAAAAGCAGAATTATTACGTGCTTGGTAGAACATTTAGTTTTAAGTCCAGTATTTTCCAATCTCAGAACCAATCAGCTGGAGTCTGACGACAAAATAAACCTTGAGGAACGATGGACAACTTTTCGATAATTCCAGGAAGCCCAGCGGTTAGTGTTAAACAGTTTCTTGCTAAGACCTTCTTTAAGGTGCGCTTGCATTGTTTACTGTCCAATCAGCAACTTGAGTAGCCAATTGAAGCTCCCCTCCAGATATGTCTGCAAAATAAACATTGTCATTTCTTGGTTCATTGAATCCACTAGAGGAGCGACGTTCATCTGTTTATGGTGAGTCTCATTTTAACTGTAAATAGTAAGTTACACAGAGGCATCACTCTGGATTACTTTAGCGGTACGAGCCTAAAGAAGAAACCGATTTGCGTGCAATTTCCTTCCATCTAACGGGTCTTAAGTTTTCAGGAATAACAACAATATGATGAAGATTAGTAAAAAGTTGAGCTTTCTCCGGTCTGTCCCCAAGAGTAGAAGAAAACAAATTTTCAAATGTTTGTTTGTTGAATGCAGGTTGGATCGATCGTTTATGATGCATTCCAGGAAGTCGGGAAATCTAAACACTGATTGGCTTTCCATGACAGAATCAAGCTGATTTCATTGTTTTCAGATTACCAGGATGTCAATATGATGGAATGTGTTCCTTCTGCTTTTGCTCTCCAAAGAGCCTGCTGCTTTGTGATTGGTCAATACCACTCAGACTGCAATCCTATGGTATATGTAGTATATCAAAAAAGAGTTTGAGCTGTTAAATTGTTAATAGGAAGTCAGTACTTTCTTTGAGTTTGGTAGTTGGAGATGACTCAGTTGTTTCTAGTGGTTGCTAAGTTTTGCATCTGGTGAGATATACATTCGCTGTTAGTTTAAAACAGAGGTCGTGACACTGGCTAATTATATCTTGTTCTATGTCTCTCTTTCTCTCCAGTATGACCTTCTGTGGTATTGGTGCCAATAAATACGTGGAGGCCAATATTTCCCAGAAGTCTCGGACCACGGTGAAGTACACGATGAAGACTCTGGCCAGCATTGCAGAGACCATCATCTTCATCTTTCTGGGGATCTCGGCGGTAGACAAGTCCAAATGGGCGTGGGACACCGGCCTGGTGTCCTGCACACTCATCTTCATCTTAATCTTCAGAGCTATGGGTCAGTCATTTCATCTGTCTCTTCATTTGTGTGTTCTTTACACGAGGTAGTGAATCATTTTACACAGAATAAAAACAACAAATCTCCAATTAGAAATCAGAAAAAAATCCTAAATTCTCACCTAAGCAACTTTTGCAGGAGTTGATTTGTCTCCTTGACAGAAAACTTGAGGAATTAAGCCGCTTTGACCTTTTCAGCTTCCGCCTCAGGATGTGACATTTTAGCTTCACAGCTGAAAACGATCTCATGATGCTGATCGCAGCTCTCTACTGTCCTCGTCAAAATATCACAATAATCTCAGACTCCCTTTTAACCTTTACGCCTGTCCACTCCTTTACATCAAGTGCTCCGTGCTGACTGTCGATTTGAAATGTAGAGTTGTGGCCGTGTGCATGCAGCTTAAAAGATACAGTGTAATGTAGTCATTTTCTCTTAAGATGTCTAAGCAGCCAGTAGTTTTTCCTCCATCATCTCCCCATATCTCCTGACTTTCTGATCCTGACCTTCAGTAACCTTTGTGCTCCAGGTGTGATCGGTCAAACCTGGGTCCTGAACCGCTTCCGCCTGGTGCCGTTGGACAAGCTCGACCAGGTGGTGATGTCATACGGCGGCCTGCGAGGGGCGGTGGCCTTCGCTCTGGTAGTGCTGCTGGACGGCAATCAGGTCAAAGCCAAGGATTATTTTGTCGCCACGACGATTGTGGTCGTCTTCTTCACCGTCATGTTCCAGGTAGGAAGAAAAACAAACACTTTCACTGTGCAGAGAAAAGTTCCAGATACCTGGTCTTTCTTCTTTTTCTGTGTGTTGTTGCACCGACAGGAGAAAACAAATTCATAGAGGTCAGGAGGGTAACTTTCAGATGAACACGGTGGCTTCAATATGAGGATGTCTTTGTCTGTCTTTGTGCTGGATAAAGGGACTCAGAGGTTAAATATGTGACCCTTTGTTCTCATATACCCCACATGTCTGAGGCAAATTAAGATGCGATCAGACTGAAAGCAAAACAAAATTTAAGCCCGGCCTAGTGGTTCAGTCGCGTCCCATGAATGGAGGCTACAGTCCTCCAAGCCGGGGTTCGAACCCTGCCTGTGGCTCTCTTCCCGCATGCCATAACCCACCTACTCTCCCAAATTCCTATTCCATCCATAAAAAGCAATATCTGTTATTTTGACTTCCTTGCCCTGTTAGTAATCCAACTTTACAGATTTTCTAGATTCAGTAAAACTCAGCGGAGTTAGATAGAGAGGAGCGCCACAGCTGAAACAGAACGCCCAACGTTTGGTATCCCTGAGAGAAATCCTGGACCTGGTCCTGATCCGTGCTGACAGGTCATCAGACTAAACACTGGTCAGCCTCAAACAGGAAAGTTCATCCAGACTCAGTTCATGGAGTCAAAGTGCGGGACTAACAGACACTCAAAGGTCACTGACAGAGACACTGAGCTGCTGCAGCTGTGTGAAGACCAGTCACACCCCGCTCTCCAGCTTCTGGTCGCCTAGCAACCGCAATGATGTCATGCTCTACATAACCTTTAGCCACCTGCTCTTACACCGAGCAATAAAATGCTGTTTGACCCAAAAAGCAGCATCCCGATGAGTTACATATATATATATATATATATATATATATATATATATATGTATGTATATATATATATGTATATATATATATATATATATGTATATATATATATACTTATCAGCAGTAGAGCTTAACATGTACATTGTGTCCTCAGGGTGGCGCTATAGGAAACATTTTGGAGTCAATAAAACATCTGATGGGTTAATAATCAGGAAAGAGAAGTATGACATTAAAGTGAAATAAATTGGTGAGTTTTCAGAAGTTTGCAGAAGTTTTCAGAAGTTTATATATATATATATATATATATATATATATATATATATATATATATATATATACACACATATATATATATATACATATATACATATATATATATATACATATATATATATATATATATACATATATATATATATATATATATATATATGTATATATATATATATACTTATCAGCAGTAGAGCTTAACATGTACATTGTGTCCTCAGGGTGGCGCTATAGGAAACATTTTGGAGTCAATAAAACATCTGATGGGTTAATAATCAGGAAAGAGAAGTATGACATTAAAGTGAAATAAATTGGTGAGTTTTCAGAAGTTTGCAGGGGTCCCTGAGGAAGGTATAGGGGTCAAAGCGGAGGTGTTTTTTTGGCCATTTTTCTGCTAAAGAGAGACAGGAAATGTTCAGAGGAGAGAGTGGGTGGAAGACATGCAGCAAAGGGCCGAGGTTGGATTCAAACCCAGCTGCTGTGAGGATGACTAAAGCCTCCGTACATGAGGGGCACGACGTAACCTCTAGGCTATCCGGCATTCCTTTTAAGGAAGATTTTGTCAGTAGAATTTGGAGATCTAATTGGTTCTGAATATTTGGTGTTTTTTATTTCAAAAGTTTTTTTTATTAAGAAAGCTTGGATCGCGGCACCGGTGGCCTAGTGGTTAGTTTACGCGTCCAATGTACAGACGCTGTAATCCTCGAAGCTGGTGGCCCGGGTCTCAGCTGTGGCTCCTTTCCCGATGTCATTCCACTCTCTCTCTCTCCCCTATTTTAGGCTCTATCCTGTGTATCTTATAAAGGCATACAAACTACTCTTCTGATACTCAAAGCACTTTAACACCACAGGTCACATTCACACACTGATGGTAGAGGCTGCTGTGTAAAGTGACCATCAGAAGTAGCCTAGCGAGCTAATTGTCAGTCGCGGTTGAATTAAAGTAAAAATATGCTGCAGTCCTGGACCACACACTTTGCAGTTAAAGTCAAGTACGGGAAGGGGTTGGGGTTTGAGATTTCAGAGATAAAAATCCAGTCATAACCTCCTGGTATCAGATTTATTTACCTGAAATAATCAGACATGTTTACTGTATGCACCTTTAAATCCCTCGTGTTAGATTAAGTCAGAGACAGGAACTTGACTTATTGTTCATTAAGGTCATAAAGTGTAAAAACAAACTAAATCTAGAGTTTGTACAAACATGTCAAACTTGAGTTCAGACTTCCTTTGACCTACTCTCTGAGTGTTTCCACTTTCCCAGCATGACTCTGCATCACAGAATGAAACCGATGGGACTGATGTTGATAACGTATTTTCTTTCTCAATAGTAGCATGCAGAATTTTCTTTGTTTCTATTTTTATGTTTCTGATGAACCCCCTCATAGTTTCTATTCTTCTAGTTTCATTCAGTCTGCAGATGTCTCCCCTTTCTATCTGAACCATCGTACTCTGTGTTGCTTTCTGTTTCAGGGTCTGACCATCAAACCGCTCGTCAAGTGGCTCAAAGTTCCTCGATCCACCAGCAGGAAGCCGACCATCAACGAGGAGATCCACGAGAGGGTCGGTTTCACTTCTTCTTCTTCTGTTGCTCCTCATTTTCCCTCATCCTAATCGTCATTTCCATCTTGTCAAATGACTAAAACATGGAGGTGTCCAGTGCACAAAAAGGCACCTGAGGGAGTAAAGACAAACTTTACACAGCAGCAAGGATTAAAACCAGCAATTTGTTTTACTCAAAGTCCCCAAAATTAAAGTCAAAATACTTAATAATGCCCAAAAATGTATATTTCTTAGATTTGATTCCCTGACTGTCTCCAGAGTTTTTACCCTCACTTTCAGGTCTTCCTAAGCTCATTGTTCTTTGATGTTTTCAGGCGTTCGACCACATCCTGACAGCTGTGGAGGACATCGCAGGCCTGCAGGGATATCACCACTGGAGAGACAAGTGAGGCCTCTACACTGATAGAAAAGACACACAGTAGAGCATCAGAGCAACATTTAAAGATGATTATAACATTGAGTGAGGCTACTTCACTGTGGCATGTTTTATTCTGAACCAGTGTTTCATACATAAGGGTCCCTCACCCATTAGGGTTTTTTAAGGTTTATCCTGGGACCTAGACAACCAGCAACCTGAATACAAGTGACTATAAAACATAGATTTTGTGCATACCTCGGCTAGAGTCCTCATTGCAGCGGGCGTGGGTTCGAATCCGACCTCGGCTCTTTGCTGCTTGTCATCCCCCTTTCTCTCCTTCCAACATTTCCTGTCTGTCTTCAGCGTTCTTATCCAATAAAGGCAAAATGGCCCCAAAAATTACTTATTATTTACAAACTAAATAAATAATGATTGGAAAACTGAGAAAAAAGGTTAATGTACAAGACTGTGAATATGTCTGAAAAGTTTACCTTTAATGGCTGTCCAAATTGTAATAAGTGGCTACGAACACTAGGGGGAGCCGCATCTCTATTAGAGACAAAAGATGAGACGCTCCACTCTTCTGATAAAACCATTAATAAATCACATTATCTGTCAGCTCCTAGATTGTCATATACAGTAAGAGTTGTTAAAGTGAGGCTTAAAAACATCGGCTTTTTAACATGATAGCTCCATAACACAGTTACATTACATTTTAAACAGGCTAACATCGGTGTTCAAATGTGTTTAGTTCCTTTGATATCAGAACTTTCAGTAAATTCTGTGTTCCAGTCATAAATATGTGAATCTGATATGTGCTTGTCTGTGTGTCTGCTCAGGTGGGAGCAGTTTGATAAGAACTACCTGAGCAAGCTGCTGCTGAGGAAGTCTGTGTACAGGAAGAGCGAGCTGTGGGAAGCTTATCAGAAGATCAACATCAGAGATGCCATCAATGTCATCGATCAGGTGTGTGTGTGTGTGTGTGAGTTTGTGTGTGTGGAGAGGGGGACTCTTCATATAGTGAGCTGAGCAGCTGGAAAACATCCTCTCTGGTTCAGTTCATGACTTGATGGAGACAAATTGCATAATATGTGACCTTGAACAGAAAGTTTTTCTTTGTGTAACAATGAAACGAACTGTTGCAGGCAGTGTGAAACCAGAAACTCCTGTGTTCTGTAAAATCTCACTTCCAGTCTTATTTTTTCAACCCGAAAACTAAAATTTGTTCAGTAGTGAAACTTAAGAGCAGCTCTTGGCACAACTGACCCTGGTTATAATGTCATAAATAATAAAACATAGAAAAAACTCGACCACTGCACACCGCTGAAAAGTCCAGCGGAGAGGGGAGTTTCATGTATCAGCCCACACAGTCGCTGAAAAACTTAAAACAACATGAAACAGATTTATGGAGGTAAGTTCATGTTTGCAGGAAGGTTTCATAAAACATTAACGTCAACACTATGACTCTAAGGAAACTCTTTATGTGCTGCTGTGATGATTCTCTGATCTGAGACCAGGTTCAGCTGCACACATCGGAAAAAACCTTCAAACAATCCAAGCCGGGGAAAAAAAATGAAAAACACAAACAGAGCTGCAAAACATAAACTCTAACCTGATAGAAGATACACTGAGGTTGTGATTGTGATTCGATAACAGAGTATGAGGCCCACATTAAAAACCCATTTAGACCAGATGAGATGTTGGTGTGCTTCTACCTTTAAGACCGGATGCAACATTGCAGCATATTGTTGTTTTTGTTGTTATTTACTTTTAAAAAGGAATGATTTTTAGTGCAAAGGAAAGGAGTTAATTCCAGTGGTTTACGCTCTCAAATGATTTTATTTTTATGTCTCTATCCGCTTCAGAGGTTGAGAAATAAAGTTTTCATTAATGTTGGAATTCTGCAAAGTTTATTCTGAAATCCCTCAGGTTTTAGGAGGTTGTTTTCAAACAATACGTAGGTTTTAGAGGTTGTTTTTTGAGGGGGCCTTAGACTCAGTTTCTTGCTCAATCTTTTCAATGTGGGACAATGTGAATACTGATTAGATATTCTGTCATTGGTTAAATACTGAAGAACTTTGTGTGTTCGGTGTGTGTAGGGTGGGAACGTCCTGACTTCAGCCAGACTGTCTCTGCCCTCCATGGCGAGCAGAGCTTCATTCCCCGAAGTCACCAACGTCACCAACTACCTGTGAGTGACTTTGTGTGTTGTTGTGTGTGTTTAAATTCAGCTGTATGTTGTGTACATTATTTTACAGTCACATTTAAACAGTAGTATGTCTCTTCAGCTCTTACACCTCCTCCTCCCTGAAGTCTTAGCCTCATGTTGATTCGCATCATGCTAAACGTGTGTGTGTGTGTGTGTGTGTGTGTGTGTGTGTGTGTGTGTGTGTGTGTGTGTGTGTGTGTGTGCGTGTGTTTTCAAGGCGTGAGAATGGCAGCGGTGTGTGTCTGGACCTGCAGGCAATCGATAACGTCCCCGGAGCCAAAGTGGAGGAGGACACAGAAACACACCACGTCCTCGCAGAAAACCTGTACAAACCCAGGAGACGGGTAACACACGCACACTCAGACGCACACACACAGGCACACGCACACGCACACGCACACGCACACGCACACGCACACACACACACACACAAAACAAAAACTTTTTTATTTTGAATGAAGAAAAAAGTATGAAATTGAAGTAAAATAAATTGAGGACTTTTTAGAGGTTTGCAGGGGTCTATGAGGAGATTTCAAGGGCCCTGAGGAAGATACAGGGGGTCCTAGCAGGGGTGTTTCTTTAATGTTTGTTTTACATTTATTTTTGGGGTCTTTTTGCCTTTATTAGAGAGGACAGCAGAAGAGAAACAAGAAATGTTGGGAGTGGATAGTGGGGGCAGTGGGGGAATTGATTTTTGGCTGTAAAGGGGATTGTCTCACTTTTGGAGTCACCCTCAAGTGGCCGTTTGAGGAACTGCAGTATGTGGCTCTTCCTGCTTTAGCTTCACACGAACTCTAGACATTTTTCCTTGGTTTTCAGAGTTCAAAAATGAGGTTTGAAGGGACATCAAAAGTTCTGACAATTGAAATAACAACAAAGTGGAGAAATAACAAAAAGTATTAACATTCAAAGATTCCTCTTCTAGTTTCTCATTAAGACATTTCATGTCAGAATAAGATAAAAGACTCAGAAATGTGTCATGTTGTGCTTTGTGTTGTTGTTCGATATCGATGTGCTGTATCATGTGTTTCATGTTGTGTGCGTCTGCAGTATCAGTCCCACTACAGCCGTCACTTCATGCCTCTGGGGGAGAAGGAGCGTCAGGACCGGGAGGTGTTTCAGAGGAACATGAAGAGCCGCATGGAGACGTTCAAATCGAGCCGACACAAACGACACAAGAAGGAGAGAAGCCTCAAGAAGGTGAGAAGCACCCGCAGCCAAATGTTTCTTCACTTCTGTCTCTGTTTGAATGAAACTCTGTGACGGCTCAGATTTAATGAAGTTATAGTTTTTTGGGAGAAAAAACTGAATACGGACCACTCTGATATGAAGAAAAAACTCAAGTTCATTTGTAACTTTTCTTTTTCTCTTTTACTTAAAGGGGCAATATGTAACTCTGACACCTAGTGTTTAAAATGAGTACTGCAGCCCAAATTCTAAACATTGAAGAGAGCTGTCTCCCCCGCCCCCTCCTCCCTAGAGTCGATGTGCGATTGTCTTTTACACTTTATTTAAGTCAGTTAATCACAGCTGCTTCACTCTGTCATTAAAGGCAATGTGGCGTGCAAATTAAACGGCCTCCTGTTCTGACTGCAGGTTAAAAGGACTGACGTGTTTATTCTGTTCTGTTTTCAACAGCGCCGAGGATCCGACGTCAAGGAGGACGGCAGCGACAAACCGAGACGCAACGTCAGCTGGCAGGACAAAAGTAACGCTGAGGGGAGGGAGGGAGAGGAAGAGGAGAGAGATCAGTAGTTAGTTAAATGTCAGACTTCAATAAGATTAAAGTACAAAAGAACGAGGCTATAAAATACATGAGTCTACATTTTTGTGCTAGCTGTAATAAAACGAAATAACATCCTCCTCTGGAATTTAAGATTTCACCGTGATCACTGTGTGTGTGTGTGTGTGTGGTGTAGTGATGTGATGGGTTGTGTCACATGTGTGTCTTTAGATCCAGTGGTTGTTCCAGTGGAGTCAGAGGAGGAGAAAGGTGACCACTCAGACCCTGAAAAAGAGGAAGACGTCGGGATCACCTTCGTCGCTCGCAAGCCAGAGACACCAAAACAGCGACCCCAATCCGGTAAGAACACACACACACACACACACACACACACACACACACACACAGACACATGTGTTGATCACTCTGCCAGTCAGTGAAGTAAATGCAACTTGGCAGCAGGAGACATTTTTATTGTGTCAAACTCATGCATGTGCTTCGGTTCGACTATAAGCCAGAGAGGTGATGGTCAAGTACAAGGTGCAAAGTCATGACATCGCTTAGAGATGACTAGATACCAAACCATGTCATTATCCCCAAAAGTATCTTCAGCTCTGTGGTCTAACTGTGTCTCTCTCATCAGTCCCTGCAGCTCTGGACGGGCCTCAGAGTCCAGCATCCGGCCCGCCTCACCCCCCATTGGAGACAGCCACCTACCATGGAAGGGCAGTGTGGGTTCTCCTCCCCCCTGTGTGTCTGTGGAGGCCACGAAGATCATCCCTGTGGACCTCCAACAGGCCTGGAACCAGAGCATCTCATCCCTGGAGAGCATCTCCTCGCCGCCCGCCCTGCCTGAGCCCTTCCACCCCCGAGTGAGCGCCCTCGCCAGACTGGGAGGAACCCGTCCAGCCTCCTACACCCCACCAGGCAGCACCCCACCAGGCAGCACTGTGGGAAGCAACTCCTCCATCGGACCTCAGGTGTCACAGGGCCCCTTCCGCTTTCCAGAGAAGAAGAAGAAGGAGGAGGACGATGAGGAGGAGGAAGATGGAGGAGCCGCACAAGAGATGCAGCCACTCATGTCATCTCTGAGGCCTCCCGGCCCCCTGCCACCGCCTCCACCACCGCCAGGCTTTGCCCCTGGGTCAGCGAGGAGGAGGAACCCCTGTGTCTACTTGAGGAGCCTGGTGGCCGCGCCCCCTCCTGGCAGTGGAGAGCCACACAGCCGAGGCCCCACCCAGCTGTAACAACAGATCCCAGATCAGTAAAACACCTCTCTAATGCAGAGCGGAGCAGGAACTGTGCTCCACCAATCAGCAGCTTCAGTTTCACTGCAAAGAACCCAACACATACACACTCACACACACATTTACCCACATATATAAAGTATATACACACACACGTACACACGCCGTCCAGTAGGAAAACAGGTCTCCACATCTCCTCTGCGTCTGCAGCCTCATGATGGAGTTTCAGCTTTACTGTGAGCGTTGACATCTCTACAACATCCTGACTGATATGAGCAGAACACTGAGGTCAGATGTCACCCCGATAGTCTAATCACTGCTCTAACCTGCACATCACCAGCCCTCACATATCACCAGCTCCTGAGAGAAGACTAAAGGTACAGACAGCTGGTCGGACAGGAGATATCTTTTTAAATGTTATACCATTCATTTCACGACTTTTAATGTAACAAAGATTCTGAGTTATTTTCTATTTGTGTCTTTGTTAGCTATTGTTTTCTAATCACAGGTCATTTTTTACGCATCTCTGGGTCTAAATAACTAACAGGTTGTAAAACAAACTGTATTGGCTGAAAAGTAATCCTTGGTGACAAAATACCCGATCAAAGTACCTCTACTAAAAGTGCTTTGTGGCACTGATAAATTACTCTTAGTTTTTTCAATAGAGTCAGGTAGTCTTAAAGAGACATGTAACAGCTGTTTCTGGTTTCTCTCTTACAAAAAGATCTTATTTTGTAGGAAGTCTACAATTCTACAATTCATTTAGCAGACACTTATCCAAAGCGACAAACATCAGAGAGTAATAACAACACAAGCAAGGATGTAGAGAGGAGGAGACAGTGTCAGGAAGTGCAAACAAACAGCTTTCAGTCCAATCAGGCAACACACAGGTGCTGACAGAAAGTGACCAGAAGCAGAGCACAACATTGACCGCTGTTGAGAGTCGAATCAGCTTCAAAAACATTTTCTTGAAGGTGCAAAGGAACTCTGCAGATCGAATGGAGTTTGGAACTTATTTCCACCAGCAGGGATGCAGCAAAGGAGAAGAGTCTAGTTAGAGACTTAGGACCCGAGTCGTTGTCAGACAGCTATGATAACAATCTGAGCATGTTAGTGGCAAAAACAAGCACTTTTATAATATGCACTTTGATCGGGCAAGTTTCCTACTGCCAGTTTCCCAGCTGATGGCTGAAGCAGCAGCTCCAAAACTTTTTGTATCTATTAGTTATTTTGACCCTAAAGGATGTAAAATTGTTACCTAAGTTAAATAAGCCATGATTCACCAATAAACATCAGTGCTGCATCCTGTTACAAAAAGGACAAATTCAAAGCTAAATACAAAACATCACCAGGCTAACGCTTTCAAGATATAATCTCCAATTTTGTGATTGTGCACAACAGCTCCCACTCACTGTTGAGTTTTTAATATTAACACAGTCCACAGCTGAATGATTCCTCCAGTCAGTAGGGAAAAAAACAATAAAATATGATATAATCAATTAAAAATGAAAATACGATTCTGCTGGAGGTGGACGCTGACTGATGTATTACCTTTCTAGTTATACTGACAACATCTCTTTTGTACATTTGGAACATTGTACTCACATAGTATAATGTTAGTAGACTTGTAATATCATCACAGCTAATAGAAATGTCATAACAATGATTGTTAGATAGAGGCACAGCTTCTCCTGCTGCCTGAACCACAGCCGCTCTTTAACATGAGCTGACAGCTTTTTAAAGTCTTATTTCTTTATACACAGGTGTCAACATGCATCAACACCTTTATTTATTTTGTTAAAGCCGCTCGAATCTAAAAATGTATTTTGTAAAGCTGCAAATATAGAGAATATACAGAGTAGTTTATTTTGAATGACCAAAGTGTGTAAAAACAAAGCATAATGAAGATTTATACCTTGTGCATCAGTGTATAACTGCCTTACTCTGCTGTCTCTGTGTAGCGGTTTGTCAGTTTAGTCTTCCTGTCTGCGTGTGTTTGTGTGCGAGTACATAGGTGGGGCCCAACCAGACCGTCCACAGGTTTATCATCCCACCAGCAGGAAAGATGTTTCTTTGATTGTTTCATTCATTTTGACTCTGTTGTGTTGCTTTTTTTTTGCCAAAGAATCTTTTCGCCTTAATGTCAGAGCTGCTTTCACACTTAGCTTCAGTCTGATTAAAGCCCAGCAGCCTCTACAGCAGTGAACCAACAGGTGGAAGGACTATCCTGTAATCAAATCAATGATGCTACCTTTTTATCCAACAATCTCTGCCTGATATTACACGTTTGGTTCTCCAAACCCTTCCTTATGATCAAGCATCAGGTCCAAAAGGGTTGGAAAAAACTTGCCAATCATAGTTTTAAATTCCATATTGGCTTTAATAGAAACTTTTATATGCAACACAAAGGTACCTGAGAGGACTTGTGCCAAGCGTGAAAAATTGTATTTGAGTCCAGAATTGAATCTTGTTTGGGAAAATATTAGCTTGTCTTGGAACTGTTACCTGGTAGTAGATAAATATTACTAAAGGTAAGCTTTTAACACATCCCTCTGCCTCCACCTGCAGGTCATTGTTACTCCAGACATTTTTGTCATCCTGGCTGCTGGCTTCAAACTTCTGTTGAACCTGAGTGATAAATGTTCAGCTGATTGCAGCAGGCTGTCTATGGTGTGTATCGTCTTTCTTGTTGCCTCAGTGTACATCCGCGGTGACTGAAATAACAAACATGTTGCTGCTTGTAGAAATGCCTTTATTCTGCAAAGATACTTGAACTGGAGCTGACACCAGACCAGTGGTGATTTTAGTGTTAATAATCTGGTAACAGCTCAGAAAAGTGTTGCAAAAGCACTACAGTGTTTCATCCAGCTGTCAGTGTTGCTTTTTTTTAAATCACTCATTATGTTAACAAGGACAAAGGAATGTGCTGCAGAGTATAAAGTCTGTTTTTATTTTATCTGTGATTCAGGTTGTCGAATAATCAAATGAAACAAATCTGTCTTTGTGCCAAACTTTTGTTTTCTTTGGCTTATGCCCAGAGATCTTAAAGCCAATAAATGTAAGGTGTGTTTTTCTGAGTGAACATGGCTGACTCTTTGCTTCTTTACATTACCTGCCTGATTTTTTAAGATGATACTGTGTTGTTTTTAGAACAGTATTTGTCTTTTATTAAGGTAATTTCATTTAATGAGACCTATATTCTCTAACATTCACTATGAGAGATATTCAAATCATCTTTATAGTCCATTAAATTAAAGATCACTTGCAGCTATACATGAACTCAATGTATATAGTATGTATTGGATGACTATTAAACGATGTAAGTGTTAATAGTATCTAAATAAAGGAAATCTGTGTATTCAATTCACCTTAAATACCCAGAGGGCACTGGCTAAAGCAAAAATGTCTCATGCACAAACACATGGACATGTTTCTTGAGAAGAAACTGGCAGGGCTGGCTGATACTTATGTTGGGGTCTACATCATTAAAAATATATGTAATTGTTTTGTAATATATATTTATATATTCATCATTTAATTTATATTCATTGTTTGTATGATTGCAATCGTGCTTTAATGGTTTATTCTTTTTTTTATCTAATCACAGTGTTTCTGTGACTTAAAATTTAAATTCACCTACAAGTTAACATATGCATCAAAATTCCTTTTAATTCACTTCAATAATTGTTAAAATAAACAAACATGGCGACCGGAAGTGACATAATGCTTTAACTAGGACAGAAAAAACAGTGCTGATTTGAATTAAAATATTAAGTGCAGCCAGTGAGTTAAGTAGCCTGCATTAAACAACAAATATAAATTAAATTAAATTAAATTATAATAAATTAAAGATGTATTTGCCGTGACGTATTTGAACGTGGCTCATCTTGTTACCGGCTGAAAACGGCTCCAAGGATTCTGTGTCCAAGTCGGATGGAGGAGTGTTTGAGTTCATCTTTAAAACAGCGGTAAGTATTCACAAATCATCTGCAAGGTTTTTGCAAGGTGCAAGAGTTTGGCATCTTCGTGCAGTTATTAATGCTGTCCTTGAAAAATCGAGTTTACACCATAGACTGTAAATATTACACCTGTCAGCTTACGTCGTATTTCGGCCCCGGTAGCGTTGCCCGGGTAACAGTTGGGAAATCTCTGTGAGTTAATGCAAAATTAAAAATATCAGATAACTTAAGTAACTGCTATTAATTGTATTTATCTGGTATGCGACGTGTTTATTATGGCCAACTATGCTTGGTAGCTCATTTATCGTAAATGTATGTGTTAGAAAGTGAATTTCGAAACTCTTATCGGTTGGCTAGCTGCTAGCCTGGGTGGTGTTATGTCCAGATTTGCTTCCTTGTCGAAAAATGCAACCAAAGCGCGAAACGAAAGCAGTGGCTATCAGTATCCCCTGTCAAATAATGCTACCAGAAAAACAAACAATAAATAATTGTACTACTCACTTTATATGACTTGTTAGGTTATAGGGAGCACGTTTTTGTTCTCTGTAATAATTTTAAGGAAGCCCATTCCTGCACGTCCTACTGTTGTTGCAAAATGTTCACAAATTGGGTCGTTGCTTTCGTTTAAATGTGTTTGCCCTCAGGGGCGTCCTACTGGTCTGCGGCCCCAACAAGTTGCCTGTCTTACCTGTTGACAAGCAGCACCTCTGATCAAATACCGCTCACTATACTCTGTACAAGGTTTGCACATTATCAGCTACAACACGTTTTTACTCCTGAGCAGCCAGTCAGTTAATTTCGCTTCACTTGTTAAATCTATTTATTGAGCCATTAGCAGATTCAATCATTTTTTTTAATCCTTTAGTTTTGGCATGAAGTAGCACAACACACAGTGGTTTAATCAACAGCCATTTCCTGAATAGCATTAAATGATAATAAGCAATTTGTGGCTGAGGGTGCGTTACCTGTTTGCACTCATCACCTCAGGGTTAAAAAGGAGGTGAAAATATGAATGAAATGTGAATAATAATGGGTGATTTGACAGATAACAACATTTTAACCCACTGGGGTGGAAAGAAGAACAAGCTGTGGTCTCTGACATGCAATTTAAATGACTGAATGCGTTTGCAAATTTCCTGTATCGTGTCTATTCAGTTAGATCATAGCAGATTATACCTTAATCTTTCAGTGCCTGTGGTGAGATTAAATTACAGGGTGTATTTGACAGTTTCACTCTTTGCCGGAATCTTTTTCAGATCTGATTCAATGAGGGGAAATGTCTCCATTCTTAAATAACAGTGTCTCTTCCGAATTCAACATTATTTCTCATCATACCCCACTTCTGTGCACACTGCCCTCTGACTGACACAAAGTATTATGTCCTGAAGGTGTAACTTTTAGCTCATCCAGTAAAGCTGTCTCCGAATGTGTTTATGTGATTCCTAAGTTTCCCCCTGCGGCTACATGTGTTGTGTAACTCTGTCAGTTCTGCGGCAGCTTGCCCTGAACTTTATGTATGCTGGAGGAAAGGATCAGTGTGTCTGAGTGTGTAATGACTGAGAGACAGGCTGTAATAATCCACTGAGGATGCACGTATACGTCCGTTGGCTGGGGGACGACACCGATCTGCCCAAAGGCTGGTGCCATTAAACGTTCTCAACACAGCTGAACAAGAAAGTGACACTCAAAGGGAAGGGTCCCTGCAGAAACAGGCAAATGTTAGATAGAGCCAATTAAGCCTTTAAAATTCAATCTGATATTTCCACATAACATGTGATTAGCAATCTAATCTGTTTTTATTCCATTACTAGTCTATATGATGCTTTTTGCCTTTTTTTTTGATAGGACAGTGGATAGAGTTGGAAACTAGGAAGAGAAGGGGGGAACGGAACGAAAAGGATCCACAGGACGGACTTGAATCCGGGCCACTCGTTTGAAGAAACATAGCCTCCTAATATGGGGAGGACCTTACCCCTAGGCCATTTGCTTCCCATGTATGCTACTTTTTAGCCGCTATTTGGGGATATCATAATCATCACAATGTTCAACAAGGCAGTTATATCCCTCTGGTAATAATTTAAAAAAGCACTGCTGATGACCAGCCCTCAGTACTTTCCTTCAGAGTACTTTGTCTCTGTAGAGAATTCAATGTAATGGAAACTCCACCTGTCCTGCACTTATACAGCCTGTCACATCTGTTTTTTAACAACTGTTCTCAGATCTGTGGCTCATCTAACCCCTCAGCTGTTTTTGTTCCTCAGAGTTTATCCTCTGAATCAAAGCCTCGCCCTCCGTCAGGGCTTCAGTGAGAGGCTGAGAGCACATACCAACACCTCAGCAGTCTGCTGGCTTTGTACTATTCTGCTGTATCAGACACTGGAGCATGGACCTCACTCCATAAGAAACATGATGTTGAAGCTTGGCTGCAGGGCTGTTTGTGCCCATGAGGAGGCACACTAAGCTGAATCTGGATGATCTGGTCCAGAGGGAAGACATGTTCATCATGTTTGATTTGTATAGTGGCAGTTAGTGTCTGATTATGCAGGGTGGCAAAACAAATGCTTTAAATCAGATTTTAAACACATTACAATTTCACTTAAGTCCCATTTATGAATACAGGAGTAAGGACAACAGGTGTGGAGAATGTAAACTCAAATTGCTGAAGTGATGAATTATTTAATCTGATTCTAGAGAGCAGCATGTTGTTATAAACCCTCTGAAGACTCTTATGTGACTGTCCCCCTGCAGGGCTGTGGTTTTCTCTTGGATCCAGAGCGACCTGCAGGCCTGGGCTTGAATCATCGCGGCAAACAGGAGGAACACAGAGCGTCAACCCAGCGAGCCTGGTGAGAGATGGATGTTTATTTGCTGTGGGTCAGCTAGGTCACTTTGGTTGTCTGTCTTTGTTTTACCGAAAGCAGCTAAATGGATGTAATTGTTTGTGTAGCTAGCAGCCTCACCTGGCCCGGTGGGTGTAAATCAGAGGTTAATTGTTAGTTTTGTCAGGGAGAAGGCCAGTTGTAAACATCAGACAGAGGAAACAGGGGGGATAATGAGGAGGGCACGCCTGCTCAGACTCTCTGATTGAGCAGCTTAACTCTCGCCCTGTCCTCCTGCTCTGGCCCGTCTGCTACGCTGTGCTGTAATGTTGATACACAGAACATGTAGTTCTGCGCTATGGTCTCATAAGCTCTTAAATGTGTGTTTCAGCACTATAATGCATCCTTAAAAGATCAGGAAAATGCAGATACAAAGATAAGCTGCACATATGTCACATCCTAACATGTCCTGCTGCTGACAGGTTTGGACTCAGCAATGACAAAACCAGGGAGTTGGATTTTCACAGATTTTAAAACTTTGCTACCATTCAAATAAAAATCAAACAGCATCATTACCGGTACCTGTTTTACTCTGCAACAAAAATATAAGTCCTAGAGACGTAGTTGCTGCTTTCATGATTATTGTAGGCATACTTGTGTTGTTATGTTGTAAAAGCCTGCAGAAATTCCTCGCTGGAGATCTCTTGTTGATCGTTTTGTTGAGTCGTGTCATAGACCAAATCCTGTGGCTCCCTTCCTGTTGAAAAATGAATGAGGGGTGATAAAACCACAGACACTCGAGGGCTGACATGTAGTTTCATGTGCTTTGAATGCACAGAGGAATAGAAGACTATATTTATCTCAGGTGTTTTTCATAACAAACTAAAGTCAGTGTAATTCTCTTGTTGTGCACAGATGCAGTTTTGTTTTATCTAGAAACATGGACCAGAAAGATGATGGCTTGGTCTGTTCCTAATATATCACATTGGCTAAATGTGAGCGCTGGTAATGATTTTGATGATCATTTATCAATACTCCATCCTTCAGCCTGAGGGGAATAGTGCTTCCCATTTGAGTGGTCTGTGTCTTTCTTTGGTTACCAGAGTGTCGGCCTCAGACAAGCCAGCCAAGAATGAATCTATTCTGTGAGGGCTTAGCTGCAGGCCGGGCCGGCTGCTGATTGGCTCCCTGTTAATTGTTCTGCGAGGTGGAAAACCTGCTCACATTCTTCTGTGATGAGCTGCTCGGCCGGCCTGTCGCTCTGAGCACACAGCAGTAACTTTCCATCAGAGCAGAGAGATGTGGCGTTTATAGATGTGTTGTCATCCTCGGCTCATACACTAATTATACAGAACGAGACACAAACAGGCCCACCAGGGCAGGCTGTGCTGCATAATCACCACTCTGCTGTCAGCCAGTGCGAGCCTCAAACTCGCTGCATGTGCGTGCATGCTGGACGTCCCGTACTCGGTGCACGCAGTCATTAAACACAAAAGATTTCAGATACTGGCTTTGTTTATTTACACATGTCCAACACAATGCTGTTACGTAAGAAACAGACCTAAACTGAACTTCCTGAGTCTTGATGGAACATCTCTACAATACCAAGCATGAAGAGATTAAACATGTAATCTGATAAAAAGTGTTTCACTTTAAACTGTCACTGTAACATTTGCAAATGACCGTTAAGAGATTCACAAACGTCAAAACACTTCAAAAGAAAACAAACGTACTGTCGTCACAGAGCAAGCAGCACAGAGCAGATTGTGAAAACCTTTAATTAAATTAACTTGATTTTTTATGTTTCACTGCCTCAAAACTCCACATACCTGAACCTCAAAATGTACCTGTAAGATGCATGTTTATTAGTTTACCTTAAGCGTTGGCTGTCGGCTGAACATGTAGTTTTTCTAGCCGACTGCTCTATTAGACTTTAAAGTCATGTCACCAGAGTTTTAGATTTAATCATTTTACCAGATGGCCACACTGCAGCCTGAGCAGCACATGACCGTGTCCTTGCTGGATTGCTGTTGCAATACTCACATGGTGAGAATGTAACAGATTGTGGGAGTAGTCTTTTGTCAAAGTGTTTTCTTTTGGCTCTTAATACCAGTGAAATAACGCAAATGCACAATGCAAATCGTATACGATAAAAGGTTTAATTTTGAGTACCTACATTGCCTCAAATATTTCCAATAGTTACCAAAGCCAGAGAAGTCCTTCATTTTGTAACGGGACGTGTGTTGTCATGGTAGCCGCCATGACACACACAAAATATTTATTGTTGCCAAGGAAACACCGGATGTCACATCAAAGATCGCTACATAAGGAAGCAGGAATTGCTACTGAAAGTTGCCGTACTGTTGCTGTATGTGCTGCTGTGATTAAAAAAAAAAAAAAAAATGTCCTGTAAATTCTACTCGGACACATTAGCTCATCTGTAAACATATTCTCTTTCTCAGGTCTGTTTCCCCTGTCTGGGGGCAATTGTGCTGTAGTGATTATTTGCAGCAACAGGATGGTGTCTGTTGCCTTCAGTCAAATACACTGGAGTTATTATTCATGGTAATTAAGTTAAAAGTCACCCAGTGCAACACTTTGGATCAAAGATTTAAAAAAAAAATGTTTTAATGTCACAGAGGAGGGAGAATTATCTGGATTTGTTCTAAAAACACAAAATAATTATCACTAGAAACATTCACTGTTGGCCCGACTCTGTATAAATGGAAAGTTAACATGGCTGTTTGAGTTTAAATTCAGCTGACCTGTCTCACCCCCCTGCCCTCGACCTTTTCTCTACATATTCAGCAGTGGTTTGAAAGGAGGCTGGTTTTTGGCCATTGAAGAAGCAGTCAGGTTGAAGTGTCAGGTTTAGGGAAGCCCTCCAGGGAAGCCTGGCGGACTCCTCAAAGGTTTGGATTTAAGGCAGACTCCACAGAGGCCCCTTCAAGGCCAGGCCTCAGACCCAGACTGATGCTGTTTTTAAATGTCGAGCCCACCACAACAGAACAGCGGGACAAAATCTGCACACACAGCAAGAAAGGAGAGAAGGCAGGGAGCCGTTTTAATGTAGACAGGGAGACTAAATGGCTTTGGAGGTGCAAAATAGAGAGATGTTGGCAGAGCTTAATGCATGTTAAAAAAACAGAATTGAAGTGTTAAAAGACATACATTACTTTTCACATGTTTGTAACTTCACTACAAAGTCTTGTGGCTGTATGTCTGTTCTCCACTTTGGTCCAGACTGAAATCTGTAAAAAGGATTAGCATCTGTGTGGTTCAGACATTCACTTTCTTCTGAGGATAAATCCTAAAAAACCTTGATGGATTATCATACAACCATCATCAGGTCTACATCAAGTGCTATGGAAAACTTTGGTTTATAGGCTCTTACCTGCAAAACTGATGACATTCCCAGCTGGACTGTCTTTCCTTCAAGCATGCTAACATTCTAGGGCCATGGGTCTACTAAAGCTTTTTTTTTCTAAAAGCTGAAAGCTCCAGGCACTCTTCTGCAATCATACCCCAGTTTAACTTCACATTTTCTGTTGCATCTGGTTGATATGATGTGGAGTATCTTTAGAGCCTGGAGGTGATATTGAGATCATCGCTGTTGTAAAGAAGGCTGAAGCAAATAGGGATCTCTTCTCCGTAGTTGTTGCTGTTCAGCATTTGTAAATTTAGGGTGTGGTGGAAACTAGCCCCACCCCTCATCCTCTGTGATTGGACAGACTGTAATGAGCTAAAAAGCTATTAGGTGTGTGACGAACTCAAAATATTGAAACGTGACTAAATTTCTTGTCAAGGTGAAAGCTGTCAGCCGTTATGGGTGAGTCAGATGCCGAACTGGAAATTAGTAGAGAAAACACCCCCGCCACTTTTAAATAGTTTGTGTGGCAGCTAGTGGAGAAACGGATCACAGTTTATCCCTAATCTGTTTGAATCATAGTGTAAAATCATATCTTGTATCGTGTATCGTCTTGCCTCATGAGCTGAGTGTATCGTCATACCCCTAAAAGCTATGCATTTTCTCAAATCTGCTTGACATTAAACAGCAGAATAAATGTAAAGTTTTGATTGTGGTATCCAAGTTATTGTCCGCACCTAATCCTTATGATGGTTAAAGGTAAAACATTCCAGTTGTATCAGCTTGAGGGGTTCATTTTGTTAAAAAATAGGCTTTTAAAGAGCCAAACTGTGTTAATATTTGTGTATCTGCACAGGAGTAATTGACTGCACGTTTCTGTTTTTTTCATGTTTCAGTATTAACTGCAGAAAAAAAAGTGCAATGTAAGATTTTCCAATGTTTTGCTGCCCTTGCTTGATGCTAAATCCAAATCTATTACAGGAAGTGTTGGACTAGAAAAATCCAGTATACAGATGTACAGCAGGTCATGCAGCTGCAACACTCAGCAAACTTAATGCACTTCAGTTCATGTTAAATCTCAAAGAACATACTAGGCTTTCCAATGTTCAGCAGATTTTTACCTTGTATAATGTGTGAAACATAAACCAGGAGCTTTCATAAAATTGAAGGAAGAACATTGTCAGCAGTTATGTGAAGTATTAATGTTTTGTATTTAGTGGGCCAAGTCATGCATACAGCAGCACATAAGAGCATTAAACAAAATGTGAAGCTTGTACTAAACTTATAAACCCACAGAAACAAATGTGTGCGTTACGGTTTGCACGTGTAGCTGAACTTTACTGTAATGTCGCTCCATGTGTTCCTGCTGCCTGCGACCGAGTTTCAGGGTGGGGGAAATGACGCCTTTGTAGAAGAATGACTCACATCAGTTGAAGATAATAAAAGTACATGTACATGTGAGACTCTGGTAGAACAAATTATCCAGGCTTGTTAACAGGATGTCATTTTGTTTAGTTTCACACTCACACTACAGCCAACAGTCATTAATCATAAGTCCTGCCAGTACTGGCCCGAATCCTCTTGGAGGAGTTACACCTCCTCCACCTCCTCCACCACCTCCTTCTCCTCTTCACTGTTCTCTCTGGAGGAGGCTCTCTGTGCTCATTTGGCTGAATCCACACATTCCTGCATCAGTACACAGAAATTATGGCGACATGAGGCAAAGAGTCAGACACTAGCGTTTACATTTCCCGGCCAACATCAGGCCTTTCATGTCCACGCTGTGTGAAGAGCCGGTAATGTTTCCTGTTACACTCAGCCAAGTCACTCAGTCAGCCATCTTTTGATTCATTCACAAGATGGTGACGCTAGTAGGGCTGCACAATAAATCACAAGACCATTCAGGGGGGACATTTTGAATAAACACAGGTATTATGATGACAGAAACTGATTTATAGATAATATGCATTCTTTAATGTTTGTATCTCACATCATATCATTATTGCAGATGCAAACAGTGAATTTGAATGCAGATTTTTCTCATATTGTGTAGGCCTAACCAGTAGTCAGCTCCAGGAAATTTCAAAATGATTATTTTACTGTATTTCATATTGTCTGTGTGATTGTTTGCAGGTCAGTTTGACGCCAGGTAATCAGAAGCAGACTGCCTGGAGGACAATCTAGGCGTAAAGGTAAGGACTAGTTTATTATCTCGTATAGTTACTAATCTAACAGGAAGTGAAATCAGGGAAATCGGTGCAATTGTAATGATTATATTGTACAAAATAAAAATCAATCATTATCTAAAATTTGAATTGTCACAAGCGGGTGAATGTGGAAGACCTTGCACTTCACTCTCAGAACTAGGACTTAGAGTGGTTTGGTCCTTTGCAATAAAACAATACTGATATTGCAAGAGACACTACATGATAGAATAAATGAAATAGTTTATTGCATCTGCTCCTTTTCTGTGCGCTGGACGACCACTTAACAAATATCCTTGAGGGCTTTGAAAACTCTCTATGTGGACTCTAATCTGTCATCCAGTGGCAGCAAACACTTATCTATGAATTTACAAAACGTCATAGCCAAGTTAGCTTTTAAAGTTAACAAAATCAGCTCTCACGGCTGATATTTAAGTGTTTTAATGGTGCAAATTTACTTCAACCTGGCCCAGTTGGCATCTTAGAAATGTGTGTTTTGACCAGTTGCACCTCACCTGTGGGATACGAGGAAAAGTAAATTAGTCATTAAAGAGTGCAGACGTTTAGGAAATGAAAAAAGAAGGCTGATTTGATAAATATCAAATTTAAGTAAGGTGCTTTTGCCCTTCCCTCATAATGAAATTGAACATTTTAGAAAGCACTTTAAAAAAAATCTGTGGCGCCGGCGGCCTGGTGGTTGGTGCGTGCGCCCCATTTGGGAAGGCTGGGGTCCACCGGGCGTGCGACCAGGGTTCGGTCCAACCTGTGGCTCCTTTCCTGAATGTCTGTCTCCACTCGCTTTCTCCCCGATTTCCGGCTCTGTTCACTTTCCTGTCTCTAGATGGAGGCATAAAAAAGCCCCACCCCTAAAAAAAACCCTTTAGAAATCAGTTTGTCTTTCACCTGCTATCATTAATGTGAATGTTGGACTTCTAGCTCAGCTGAAGATACATGTCTGTCAAAGTTGATAACTTTGTTCTGTCACTGTAGAGCTCTGAATTTACTTTAACTGAGTGTAATCGAGCCCAGCTGGGTCCTACATCACACACACACACACACACACACACACACACACACACACACACACACACACACACACACACACACACACACACACACACACACACACACACACACACACACAGACTACACCCAGAGTATCACACACACACTCTCATTAGTTTTGCTCCCTGTGTGACGCTGCTTATTATTCATTCATTCTGATTCTCCCTGAACTCCTCTCCCCAGAGACGCCCCCTGAGTCCCTCTGCTACCACTAAAAGACCCTCTGAGGTCAAAGATCATTAATGTTGGGGGGTGGGGGCACCTGCCACTTAGCATTAACAGATACAATGAAAACACACAGAACAGCATCAACATATGTGTTTATGTTTACAGGTTAGATTGCGTTTCTCTGAATGGACTCACTGTAAAAAATTAAAGTGTAACAAACTTATTTAATGAAATAAAACAGAAGAAGGAACAAAAGACGACAACATTCAGGTTGGACCCTTAAAGGCCACGCCTGATATATTTCTCAATACTACCAATTCAACACCTTTCAGTTCATGACACATGAAAACTCCAAACCATCAGAAATTGCTTAAATCAATGACAAATCTCTTCATCATTCCTCAAGTCATGTTTGACTGGCAGGTTGCCCCACCCCCACCCCCAGCGTTAGGGTTCATAGACTTCCATTAGATCTTAAACTTTATTTGTTCACTGTGGTAACATTTGGCTAGCTAGCTTTGAAAAACAATGTGCATCTTGAATCACACAATCATGTCTGCCCTGCCACGCACCTGAACAATAAATCACTGCTTGGCATGGTCCCAGTCAAAGCACACCATACCTGACCACAGGGGCTGATACAAAATCTACTTCTCCTCTTACTCTTTATTTAGCATGTGGCAGCTTAGTAATACATACATATGACTGTTAGAGCATTGTGTATTTGTCATCTCAGTGTGGGCGGAGTCTAATGAACATGACTGCAGGTTGATCCTCACAGTGCTGATAACAGCAGCACACACACCGAATGGATTTATGTCCATATCCCTCACAGCTGCTGCCTGATGAAACCCAAACACCACACTGCAGTTTGGCTGTTTTTCTTTCTTTTCCTGGAATCTTAAATTTCTCTTCTCGTCCGACGTGGGGAGCAGATTTCTGGACCCAGGAGTCTGTTGAAAGCTTCTGAAACCACACCATCAGGTTTCTAAAATAGCTGAGCACCTTCATTCCTTACAATATGTTTCTGCTTTTCTCTCCCACATTTCTTCAAGGTGTTCATTCTTACTTTACAAATTTCCTTAAAACTACAATCCTGCAGATTTCAATACGTCAAAACCCATTCCAACTAAATTTTTTAGGTTATCATTTATTCAGCAGTAGCCATTCGATATAAAATCAGTAGCAGTTTCAAGCCATGCTAGGGCCATGGACCTTTGTCTGTCTTTTGCTCCTCCTCTTTGGTCCACACGGAAATATATCTGGGATCACAGTCCTTTTCAAACATCCAAATGAATTGGACAAGCTGTAGTTTCTTAAAAAATATAAAAGTTTTGATAAGTAGCAGTGTGTTTTACCTCACAGTAGCTCTCACTGTGCTGCTCATCTGTTCTTCTGGACTATTTAAAGATTCAATTTGCTCTCCAAAGAATGTCCTGTAAACTGTTGCCAACAATATGTGTGTCTGTCTGTCTGTGTGTGTGTGTGTGTGTGTGTGTGTGTGTGTGTGTGTAACAGCTGTTTTGTGAACTGATAGAGGCTCACATGCTTCAACAACAGAGAGAGGTGGAGAGGCATTGAGATACAGAGAGAGAGAGAGAGAGCTGTGGGTGGAGCTGTCTGCGCCTGCAGGCTGATATTTTGTCAAGGAGCTTCTCTGTGCACACATGCTGGATTTCTGTGACTGAACCCACCCCACTGGAGCTCTACTGTGTCCGTGTGAGCCCTATTGACTCGGCACTCACAGCTCCATTTGCTGTCATTGTTGGTGTTTCAGTTTGGATTACTTTTGCTTCTGTTCTGAGAAGAGCACAGTGGGAGTCGTGCTGCAGCCACAGAGGGTAGGCGCCCTTCAAACTCAAACTTTGTGACAATTGTTTTTATCTGCAGGTTTATTTGTTTCTACAGCTGCAAATGTGATTTTATTCAGAGTCACAGCTGTCTCTTCTTTTTGCATCACCAGCCAAAAGAGTATGTGGATCCTGCCTTGTGTTTTCTGACATGTGAGATGTGTGCAATCTTAGTCAGGCAAAGTTATTCTGAAGCATTGGCTCTGAACGGAAAGAAAAGAGAAAACACCTGAAGGTGTCCCTTGAACATAATCTACTGGTGCTGGAATTCCTGGAATGTCAGGGGATTTTTAGCTGTTTTTCCCGGACAGGTAAATGTGCTAAATTGCGTGATGAAGTTTGGAGAAAGTTTCAAATTGTTTCAGATGTGGATCAGATCACAGGAATGTTTTGGCTGTCTTGGTTTTCACAGTCAATTTCACACTGCCTGTTGCAGTCTGCTGGTTTTCTGACTAACTGAAGCAGAAACTAAAATAAAACACATTTTGGAAGTGTTTTAACCTCAAGAGACCCACAGACACATGAGGAAGACTTTAACTGAGGCAGGAAACAATCCCACGCTGAGATGCTGGAAGAAAGACTGATAAGAGCTTTCACATGCAGATCTTCTTCTCTACTCTCAGTCTTTGCTTAACCTTAGAAGAATCTGAATAATTTATTGAAAACATTCCAGACAGATAAGAGTTGACATGTATATTTTTAGTAATCTGAACTATTACTGCTTGCTCATCATTAGTGTGTGTCATTGTGGAAGTTTGTGTTGGTGTTAAAGTTCTGGGTGAGGAGGCCGACAGTTGGTGTGTGTGTGTGTGTGTGTGTGTGTGTGTGTGTGTGCGCACACCGTCTGAGGCCTCCAGGGGGAGGAACTGGCTCCACAGTCTGATTTTGGAGCCAACATGGAGGCAGGTTATTCCTCTCTGCCTCCCATGCTGCCCCTCCTCTATCGCAGTACAGCTCTGATTTCTTTTAATGGGGTAACATTTTCATCACTTTTTGACATTTTATTTTTTCGTACATTTGCAGTTTGAAGCCGCTAATTTGTAGTATGACGTTTTTCTTATTATTAAGGTGTTTTCGAAACATTATTTTCAGATTAGATAAGATGAAATGTCTCAATTCACCAGTTTAGTATCCTCACTGTGTGAAACACAACATAGAAAAGTAGGCTTATTGTATTTAGTCACAAGATGTCCAGGTCTGATTTAAAACAATCCAAAATCTGAATTTACAAAAATAAAATCAATCATAAATTTAGCTCAACATATGGGTTACACCGCAATAAGTTTTTACCATTTGTCTTATTTGTAACAGAGACTCAAATTGAGGAATGGGCCATTATCATGACATTGTTTTTTCAGTATGTGAAAGGACAATGATAAGAGTATAGAAAGCTCTGTGTTATAAATCCCAATGGCATCTTAATCACAATATGAACTTTCACAATAGACGCATCGCTAAAGTCTGAATTTATTGCAATACATTCTTTTTTTTGAAAATATTTAACATAGAAATTATTTTTCCACTCTGTATGTACACATTTTACAAGTCTGATGGAGGCACAGATATATTGGCCATGCTTCAACAACATGTTGATGCAGTCAGATGAAGCTCCAACTAAACCCTGATTTGGCTTCAGGAGGAACATGTTGCAAACACAAACCATTGATTCAATCCTGATATGTACATGAAATGCAGACTGCATTCATTTGGGTTGATTTTGATCTGTATCTTTCAAAAATATCGCAATATCAGCTGCCCTACTTCCTATATTGGAAGAGATGATTGAAGGAGCAACATGTACAGTAAATCTGACTCCTACGGTTTAAAATGGGTACTGCAGTCCAAATTCAAAACATTGGAGAGAGCTGTCTCCCCCCGCCCCCTCCTTACAGTTGATGCTCATGCAGGTTGCCATGTGGTGGACACTGAAGCTTCAGTGTTTATCCAGCTCTGCATCGGTCTGTAAACCTTTCTGTGTTCTAACCTCTCTCCATTTTTCAAAGGTATCTCCAATATTGATCCTAGTTTGAGCACAACAACCAGGTTCGAAAAGAACCTGGTTGTTGTACCTGACACATTTGACTGCTGTATTTGACTTTCTGTGATAATCTCACTGCTGCTGTGACTGAGTCTCACTGAGCTGGAACACGAGTCAGCTTTACTGCTCCGCTAAGTTGTGTGAGGTTTTACTGAGGCGTTCAAAAAATGTGAGCAGAGTATGTAGCCAGAGGCTGCATAGCTGCTGCAGGTGGGTGCCTGCCCATGTGTGTATGTGTGGGTGTTTTTGTGTGTGTGTGGGAACCTTTTTCACTGCTTTAACTTAATGTCTTCAGCCAACCAGGTGTAATTCTTCACCTTTTTCAATCCTGTTTATTTATTGAAGTCACGTATTTCTCAGTTGACTCTCGGGTCAGGAGCTCTGCAGAGAACATCAACTGACTTTAAGGAGATTCTCATCAATCACAGCAGCCGTGAAGGAATTTAATGTTCCCTCTGCTGAAACTGTTTTAATAACACACTAAAAAATAAACAGTAACACCCGACAGACACATCTATAAAATGTCCAAAAGTAACAAGCTATAAAGTTTACTGTAATAGAAAACAGAGAAAATAGTTTTAAAAAGAAGGTGCTTCAAATTGTTCCCGATTAATCAATGAAATGATTAATCAATACTTAAAGTTGTTGATAATTAATTTCTGTCAGGTGACTGATTGATAAGTTGACTTAGTCTCTAAGTCCTGGTTGATGGTTCAGGCGCTGTAGACTTTATCTGCAGGCTGTATCTTTGTGTTTGTTTTTAACCCTTGATTAGCCGTGGTGCTCCCGGGGGCCCCTCTTGCCCCAACTGTGTGTGCAGTGAGCCGTGTAATGAGACGGGGAAACACACCCGTGACCTTCGCTTCACCTTATGTTCCCACTAATGAGGGAAAAGTCTGGATCTTTTTCTCTGTCATGTCTTGTATTGAAAAGTGCTGAAGTTGTAGTTCTCTGTGTGTGCGTGGAGGAGTCAGGCTGATGGAGCGTGTCCAAACTTCAAAAAGGCACTGAAGACCCCCCCCCCGACCTGTCTATAAAGTTGACCTGCCACGGCGCTGTGAACCCTCTGAGACAGTAAACTCTCTTCCTGTTCGTCCTCGGACTCTGACAAATGCATCATGAGGGAACAGGTGCCTGAACGCCTCTCACTCACAGGATATTAACTCCAGTCTTGCTCCTCTTGTTCATTCCCCTCTGTCTCTTTAATTTCCTCCTCAGAAGCCTCACAGAGTCTCCTTTTCCATGTACCCATAATGCACTCTGTCACCCTTATACTGTACTTGTGGCTTTTAATCAGAAGTGCTCAGTTATTTTTCTTTAAAATTACAACGATAGCAATGAAGAACTAAGGATCAATTTTACTTAATGTGGAAAGAATAAATATATTATCTCACAGAAATAGCACCAACAGCTAGTTTATCTTTTCTTGGTGGTGGATAGAGGAAGAAATCAGGGAGAGAGAGAGAGAGAGAGAGGGGAATGACATGCAGGAAAGGAGCCACAGGTAAAGGTTTAACCTGGAAAGTCCACTTGGAGGACCATAGCCTCCGTACACGCAGTGCAACCTAACCGCTAGGCCATCTGAGCCCCAACAGCTGGTTTATCTTCAGATTTTTGCACTAGTTGCACTAGTAATGCTACGCTACCAAAACATTGCTATTGCATATCTGCAGTTTTTGCAGTGGTCTTCAACTGACCCAAAATAGGGTATAGAGCCATGTTTAAGTATTCCATCTCAGTTATAACTTGTGTTCCAGTTGAACCGATCTGTGAACTTTAACGGACCACTGCTGCTCTCTCCCTTCTGCTTGCTGCAGCTTCGGGGTAAAAATAGGGCTAAAGGTCTGAAGTATGGAACATTTTGACAACTTAAGTTTCAAGTGTTGTCACATTAAAAGAGCATTCCACACACATCTTAATTGAAATTAATTAATTAATTAATTAATTATTTGAGACAATGACTGGCAGATTTGTCAGAACCTACTGGTGGTAAAGGTTCCAGAGGGTCTTTACTTTGCACACAAACACCAGAGACTCTGGTTCAGAGCTTGTATCAGCTTCACACCCACTCCCATGATGCTTTGGTAAACTCTTTTCAGTCTCTGTCCGGAGACCATTCACTGGTTCACCTGTCTGTGCTGTTCTCAGAAACATCCATGCTGTCTGTGAATCCTGAGCCTTCACTTTGATTAGTTGGTATCATTGATCCCTGACCTCTTGGTACTGAACCAGAGACTCGTCTTCAGTCAGGTGGATCAGACAACGCTCTGTCAACAACAAAGGTCATTGGTCCCCCCCCGGTTTTAGGGGCGTCTGCATCCAATGTGTTGAATGTGTCGTCCAGGTGTGAAGGTTCAACCTGACCTGAAGCCTGTGGAGGTGATCAGTGTTGAGACCAGTGATTAAAAACAACCTTTTGTCTGAAGTTAGAAGTCTTATAGGTTGAAGTTTGAGAAGATAACTTGAATGATGTTTTGTGTTTTACTGATGTAAATTTTGAGACAATCTTATAGTTAACAGAGAAGCCTCACTCTTTGTATGCAGACAGACCAGAAAGGGTTAAAGGACAGTTAAGAACATTTTAAAATCTGCTGCCTTGTTTGAACATAAGTGCATCCTGGCCTTGTTTATTTTTCCTTCAACACTGATTATGTCAACAGCTGCCATCACAGACTTTATAAAGACCTAAATCATTGTTGATGAAATACATAAATAAATAAAATGTGCAGATGAAATTTGATTCTGTTTCCACAGCTGTGTTGTAAAAATCACCTCCATTATATGAGAGACACTGACTGATAGACTTAACTTCGTTTGTTTGATGGAAACAGCCTGAAGGACAAACAGATGATTTATTCTTCTATAAAAGAAACTGTATTACTATGATGAGTGTTAAACAGAAGGAGGTGATGTTGGACTGAATTCAATGCCGATGGTAAACAGGGCTGGAAAC